TGGCTTGATGGTGAGGTTAATGTGGTGCTGTGTATTCCCAAAGCATGAATGGTTTAATAACCTAAGACAGTAATAGCTTAATCCTAGGAAATGCAAAAAAAAGCCTTGTTGTCATACACTGATACAAACATATGTTTAAAGGAAGATGAAATCAAACGAGAACCAATAACTTTCCTGCTTTTTAAATAGAAGTACTATTAATTATTAGGAACTCTGGTTTCAGCATGAGTATCATTAATCCCAGGGAAGCTATGAAACACTGTTAGAAAATATATTTCTTCCCATTTATGTGAACAGAACCGTCACTATAGTTCAGTCGCTAGAGCATGAGACTCTTAATGGGTTTGAGCCCAATGTAGGACAAAAAGATTCCTGCATAGCAGGGGGTTGGACTAGCAGACCCTCCAAGTGTCCCAATTTCCCAGGGACATCCCTGATTTAGAGAATCCATACCGGTTTCTGATTTGATCCTGGAATGTCCCACTTTTCCTAGGATGTCCCTGTTTTCATTGGAGAAATGTTGGAGGGTATGGAGTTATCAAACCCCCAAGCCGTCTGAAGGCAAACTTGTACAGTGGTACCTCGGGTTACATACGCTTCAGGTTACATACGCTTCAGGTTACAGACTCCGATAACCCAGAAATAGTGCTTCAGGTTAAGAACTTTGCTTCAGGAAAAGAACAGAAATTGTGCTCCAGTGGTGCAGCGGCAGCAGGAGGCCCCATTAGCTAAAGTGGTGCTTCAGGTTAAGAACAGTTTCAGGTTAAGAATGGACCTCTGGAATGACCCGAGGTACCACTGTATAGGGAAGGTATTTGGTTTTTTAATGTTTAGTGTTTTATTATGTTTTTATATATGTTGGAAGCTGCCTAGAGTGGCTGGGCAACCCAGTAAGATGTGTGGAGTATAAACAGTGAAATTATCATTACGGAATGGGATGTCCCTATTTTCATTGGAGAAATGTTGGAGGGTATAGACTAGTTGGCCCTTGTGGTCCCTTCCATCTCTACAAGTCTGTGATACTACAAGTAAAATTTCACATGATGTATATACAGTATTCATCAGCAATGTTCTCATGGGGACCCTTGGGGCATTAAAAAGAAACTTTTGTGGGCTCAAATCATTCTTGAAAGATTCACAAATTTTGGCCCATTTACATCTCTCTGGCCACATCTGTACTGCACATTTAAAGCAGTATCATACCTCTTCAAGCAGCCATGTCTTTCCCAAAAGGATTCTAGGAAGTGTAGTTTGTTAAGGGTACTGAGAGTTTTAGGAGACCCCAACTCTTTACAGAGTTGCAATTTCCCAGGTACCTTGGGAATAGGCATTGATTGTTAAACTACACTAGAAATTAGCTCTGTAAGGGGAAGAGCGGTCATTAAAAGTAATACCTCACCATCAGTAAATCCCCCCATTTACCATTTTTATATTATATTATTAAATTACTTCTAGAAACAAAAATGTCATTGGCATGTACCCTATATGAAAATAACTGAAGAAACAGACATGCAAGTGAGGAAACACTTAAAGGTAGGTAATTACTTGCCTTTAAATTTTTTGAAAGGGGTGGAAAACAAAATGTTTCTAACATTTGCTTTGTTTGTCACTAGCACTGCTCGTCTTTCCATTTTGCTAAAAGCCTGAGACACACATCAGAGGATAAAAGTCAATCACACGTGAGAAACCCAGAGATGTTTATTTTAAGGGTAAGACACAAATTACCAGATGTTGATAATGATACGGGTAAGGATTTTGTTATTTATATGCCACCCATCTGACTGGGTTGCCCCAGTCTGTCTGGTCTGCTCCCAACAAAATATTAAAAACACAATAAAACTTCCCTGAACAGGGCCATGTTTAGGCATCTTCTAAAAATCAAATAGTTGTTTGACATGTCAGGAGACGCTGCGGGGACCGGCACAGCCTGGTGTGAGGTTGCTAGCCTGTTGCAGCATCCCCAACAGTGTGCAGGTTGTTGCAGCCTTCCGCTAGGATGTTTCTATACTTATATTATTCTGCAGTGCCAGGTGATTCCAATAACAGATATTGTATTGGTCTCTCCTCTCCCTATGCATTGCTGTCCATGTATGATCAAGATCCTTGCAGAGGACAATGTTGTTGGACTACAACTCTCACCATCCATGATCATTATTCATGCTGGCTGGGGCGGATGGGAGTTGGAGTCAAACATCTGAAGGGCTTCATGTCTGCTAACCCTGGTGTAATGTGAAGCATTTCAAATTTAGGTAGTTTAAAAATCAACAAAGCATGATTTAAGCCCTCTTTTCCAATCTTGCATCTCTTATATGTACTGCTACTCCAGAAGACAACGGGCATTTTGTGTGTATATGAGATAAAGAGAAATGCATGCTCAACAGTATATATGCAATTAAAATGGCAGTTTATAAAGGCTATCTAATTAATTGTGGGCTTGTTCATTTGTTTTTAGCCAGAGGCAAACATAAATCAGATGAAATGCCACTATTCAAGTTTTAGTGTTTGTTCAAATGTTGTAGTTTCTAGACACAAAGAAACAGAAACCCAGAAATCAATGTATACAAATAAATGGCTCCTCCAAAGGCAAACAAGTGAAGAAATCCACCATTCAGAAAACACCAAGACAACTGATGAAAAGAAAATTAACAGAAGGATAATGGATTTATCGAGAAGTGTGTTATCGGGTTCTCTAATGTTATCAGATGTAAATAGTTCAGAAGATAAAGCAGACAGAGCTGCTGTCTGTGGATCCTCATCATCCAGTCTACCTCACCTGAAAACCCAGAATGAAAAAGTAAAAACCTTTAGTGCTCATTTGCTTCAAGACCAGGGAATAAGTAATGAAATCAGATGCTATCCATGCAAGTCTTCAGATGGCGATACAAACAGAGCTGCCATTAGAGGACAAATCAATTCTCTGTGTTTATCCAAAAGGAAAATCTTCATGATCTATATCTGTGGAGGCTATCAAGGTACAACCAAGAGCACCAGAATTTTGTGTTAAAAATCTTAAGACTAACAGATTCATTGTGGTATAAGCTGGTGTTTTGGGGTGGATAGGTAAATTGTCACTTTCCTCACCTACTATCTCCTCAGTGTTTTCATTCCTTTTCCAGCCGTGCCGCTAACTATTTCTGGAGTGCTCTTGAACTATTATTTTTATTGTTTGTTTGTTTCACCCTCAGATTTGCACAAAACCAGAAAACAACACAAGCAAATCACATTATAGAAAATGTAGTTTGCTTGTGCAGTTTTCTGCTTTTTTGCAAATGTAAGTGATCAAAAAACAAAAAAAATACACCAGATATTGCATAGCAAGTTAATTTGAAAAGTGTGTGCTGAGAATTTACAATTGCCTGTGAAATAAATTACGCTCCTAAAAGTCATGATAACTAGTGGTGCTAGAGTCCAGAACCCAGTCCCCTTTCCATTCAAATAAGCACCTTATTTTTACATTGCAGTGAGCCTATAAATCATATACTGAAAGTCTGACAGTTGCTTCTATATCTCCACAGGCTATAAAAATGTTGCTTTTAATCAACAAATTGATTTAGGTAATATGCTTGCTTTATTATATTAATCAGATTCAGAAGTAGAACGAAATGCATTAATGGAAAAGTCTTTTCCTTGGCTGTACAAATACTGTAAAGAGAGAGGCTACGACTTCCGGATGGTGGACCTGAGGTGGGGGATAAAAGATGGCATCACTAACAATCACAACATGGCTTCCCTCCATATGAAGACATTAAGGAAATGCCAGCAGTTGGGATTCCAAACCTTTGTTGTAAGTTCAGATGGAATTTGTGATACGTTAAGCACACAGAGGGTTTTTTAAATGCCATTTTAGGGCCTGGTTTTTCCATTTCGTAAGTCATTGGATGGAAGAAAGAGGGGAGTCCATATCAAAACAAAAATGGATATATCTGGACAGGGACGTGGGGTGCAGTTCACCCCGGGTGTCATCCCTGAGGGGGTGACAAAATGGCACACCGCGGGGGGTGGCACTTATCGCAGGGCCCGGCCTGCAGCGCACCCAAGCCACACGTCTCTTCTGGGAGTGATGCGGTGGCTCAGGGCCCCGTGCCGCTCGAAACGGCAGTGTGGGGCTTGCGTCTGCCAGGCGGACTCCGTGGACAGTTTGCCCCGCCCCCACCGCTCCGGTTGCCAGAGCAGCTAGCTACGCCTCTGTATCTGGATCACCCCTAGTAGCAGTCAGTTCATTAGGCTACTGTTCTGCTGCCTCAATTCATTAGGTTATTATTAAGCACTACAGTCATACCTCGGGTTGAAGTAGCTTTGGGATGAATATTTTCGGGTTGCGCTCCGCGGTGACCCGGAAGTAACAGAGTGAGTTACTTCCGGGTTTCGCCGCTCGCGCATTGCGCAGACGCTCGCTTCAGGATGTGAACGGGGCTCCGGAACGGATCCCGTTCGCACCCAGAGGTTCCACTGTATATCTTTACAGCACATTTGAAGCATGTTTTTACCCTCAGAGAATTCTGGGCACTCTCATTTTTTTGGGTATTCTAACTCTGTAAGGGATAACAGATGTGCTTTGAATGTGTATGCAGCCTCAGTATGGAATACCACTGGCTTCACAAAACATTAAATGCACCAAGGCTTTATTGGTTCCATTGTAAGCCAATTTTCTCTTCTTTGGTTTTCTGTTTCAGGTTTTTATTGGGCAAAAGCATGACGACCCCTCTCTCCCAGCAGTAATAGCCAAGGAAGATTTAGAGGCAATCAAAGCCACAATTGAACAAATGAAGCTGAGTACCAAAAAGTCAAAGCATAGTTTGGCTAGTGGTTTGAGGGAAGAAACTCTAATAGATAAAAAGAATGAAATCCAAGGTGATAGTGATCAATATGCCCTGAGCCCCAGTGTCTCAACAGAAGAACCTGAAGCTGGGACAAACAGCAAGAAGGAATATGAAATGATTAATTCAAATGGGCAGGAGTTTTCTAATGCTTCTCTCCTCACCCAAAAGACTGTAGCTGAATATGAGAGAGAATTTCAACTTCTGGATTGCTGGTACAGGTTGGATGAAAACTACATCCCTGCGGTTTACAGACTTCAACCTATTTGGTTAGTTATTGTCATTATTGTTGTTATTATTAAATGACAGAAGCTTGGCAAAAACGCACAGGTGTTGGGACAACCAGTGTGTACTTTTCCTGGCATTTGGTGTCCATTTTGCTCTGTTTGTAAACAAATTCCCTTTCCAGTACTGCGACAGAGGTTTGCATGCCATTTACTTCAATTGGCTATTGCCGGCCAGCAAAAGGAGTTTAACATGAAAAAAGAAACCTGTCCTGGAGTAAAATCCCAGGCAACAATTCAAGGGAACCTCCTGCACGAGACCAAATTGAAAATGGAACTAGGTCTGGATTTAACGGAAAGTATGGATGAGCCTTTATTGAGCTCCAGTCCATGAACAAGCATGTGCTGGCTATGTCTACTGCAGTTTGGTCTGAGATTAAAATGAACCAAAACAGTTCCTCATGCAAATATGTATTCTCATCACTTTCTTCCATGAATATTACATTCAGAGACAGTTGTTCTATGCCAGAAATATCTGCTGTTTCATCTGCTAAAAGCCAGTGCTTGAATCATAGGAGGGAATCATGGAGGGACAGAGACATCTTTTCTTAATTGTGCTGGCTACTGCTCCCCAGGGCTTTTTCTCAGCCGGAACTTGCTGGAACTCAGTTCCTGCACCTCTTAGGTGGGTGCCATTGCCATTATAAGAGAACAAAGGAGGTGCTCGTGGTAAGTTCCAACACCTCTTTTTCTAGAAAAATCACATTGTTTTCCCCCATTTGTTTTTGGAAGCTTATGGAGACCATAATATATGGCTAAAATGAGGTGAAATTAGGCTTTGGATTGTGTGTTTATTTGCGGATTCTCCTAACTTTCTTCCCATAAAATGGAGACACTGTCCTGTGCTATGAATCAATATGCTCTGTGTATCATGGGCATTTGTGTATCGTTGATCTGTCTTGTTCTTTGGGATGGGGGCCTGCTGGATAGCGCAGATCTTGGATGTGGTCGGGTGAAGGCCGGAGGCGTCAATAAGATAGCCCAGGAACTCTACCTGTGGAACGGCGATCTGGCACTTCTCCCTCTTTACCTTGAGCCCGGCCTCTTGGAACCTGGTCAGCACGGCACGGAGGCGCTCGAATAGCTGCTGGTGTGAGTCTGCGGACACCAAGACATCATCAAAATATGGTACCACGCCCGGAAGCCCTTGCAGGAGACGCTCCATAAGACTTTGGAAGATGCCAGGAGCCACACTCACCCCGAACTGCAACCGGCGGCAACGGAATGCTCCTCGGTGGGTGACGATCGTCTGGGCTTCAGCAGTGGCATCATCGACAGGCAGTTGTTGATAGGCTTGGGCAAGGTCCAGCTTAGCGAAGACCTTACCCTCACCCAGGGAATGCAGCAGGTGTTGGACAACAGGAACCGGATAAGCGTGCTGCTGAAGTGCCTTGTTGATTGTGCACTTGTAGTCAGCACAGATTCTCACCGACCCATCTGGCTTGACAGGCATGATGATGGGGGTTTCCCACTTGGCGTGGTCAACCAGCTCCAAAACTCCTTGGGCGATCAGCTTGTCCAGTTGTTCGTCCACCTTAGCCTTGAGAGCAAAGGAACCCGGCGTGGCTTTAGCTTGATGGGGGAGACTTTTGGATCAAGGCTAAAGGAGATGGGCGTACCTGTATATTGCCCCAAAGTGCCGTCAAAAACCTCGGCAAAGTCTTTGACCAGACCCTCAGTCTCTGCGTTAGAGATGCAGTTGATGCCGGTGACTTCCAGGCCGAGGGCATCAAACCAGTCTAGCCCTAGGAGGCTTGGCCGCTGACCTTCGACCACCACCAACCAGAGCAGGACCGAAAAATCCTTGAAGGCGATCCGGAACCGGCCAACGCCTACCACGGGAATGTCGTTTCCCTGGTAGTCTCTCAGGTGTACGCGGTGAGAGTCGAGTTGCCTTTTGGACACTCTGGGTACCAGTCTTTTGATGGTGCTCCAAGACATGATGGACAGGGCAGACCCGGTGTCGATCTCCATGTCACATGGAGCTCCTTCAATGAGCACCGTGACGTTCAGCTTGCGTCGTGTAGGCGAGTCGGTTTGGCCAATTGTGGTTCCAGACAGGCAGCGGCAGTTGGTGAGAGCGAAACAACTTTCCTTGGCAGACTGGAGTGAAGACTTGGACTTGCGAGTCGATGAAGGGGGGGTGTCAGACGGAGCCGATCGGCAGACCTTAGCGATGTGGCCCCTTCTGGAACACTTCCTACAGATGGCGTCTCTGAATCGACACTTGGCACGGGAATGGTTGCCTCCGCAGCCGGCACATTCTGGTTGGCCCTTGGACTTCTGTTGGAACTTCCTGCGCTCCCGCTTCGTCTGGTGCATGTCATCGTCTTCACTGGAGGATGCCTCATCAATGCTGGCCTCTTTGTGATGCACTGGAACTGGCTTCCTAGCAAGACGCAGGCTGCTGGCCTTGCGAATCTCCTGGGCGGCTTCAGCAGCTTCCGAGGCCACAGCCTCCTCAATGGCTTTCTGCACCGTGAGGTCTGGCTTGGCGAGGAGACGCCGTTGCAGATGGCTGTCCCGGACCCCGGAGATGATTCAATCCATCAGGGCATCGTCTAAGTCTCGGAACTCGCAGTGCATTGCAGCCTGTCTGAGGGCAGTGGTGTAGTTGCTGATTGACTCCCCCTCTGCCTGGTTTCGGTGGTAAAACGCATGGTGGGCAGCAATCTTGGACGGCTTTGGCGCGTAGTGGTTGTGGAGCTTCTCTTGGATCGTGTCCCATGGTGTGGCCTGGACTGCTTCAGGTGCAACCAATGCTCGGGCCCTCTCAAACACCTCAGGCCCACAGAGGCTGAGGAATAGGCCCTGCTTCCATTCCTTTGATACTGCTGTCAGCTCGTTGGCTTGGAGGTAGCAATTGAACCGAGCGAGGTAGGAGTCCCATGATTCAGAGGCTGGCGCAAACGGCGGTAGAGGCACAAGTGAAGCCATGATTCTGATGCCGGCATGAAGGGCGATGGATGGAACACAGTGCTCTAGCCAGAACAGTCAGCTCTGAATTGGTTCTGTCCAGTGATTTCGCTCAGTGATTTTGCTCTGTGATTCAGCTCAGTTCAGAGGATGGCCGCATCTGGCTGTGCTCTGATGTCCACCAATCCTACCTTTGTCGCCAGTATTAAGTTGTGGGTTGACATAGCAGATGACACAGTGATTTCTCCAAAGCAGCTCTTTATTTTGTAAGCTGGAACAGAACTAAGCTGAGGAGCTCAGTCAGCCTGCTTATATCGAGCTACAGAACAATTGTAACTGTTGCAACGTTCTAAAACTATCCAATCACTGAACGTCACTTTTCGATCCTTCATTTGCATACAAAACTATCCAATCACTGAACGTCACTTTTCGATCCTTCATTTGCATAACTATCTACAGTATCCCCCTACTGGCCCAGGGTGAGAACTTCAGTACATAACAGTTTTCCCCATTTGTTTTTGGAAGCTTATGGAGACCATAATATATGGCTAAAATGAGGTGAAATTAGGCTTTGGATTGTGTGTTTATTTGCGGATTCTCCTAACTTTCTTCCCATAAAATGGAGACACTGTCCTGTGCTATGAATCACTATGCTCTGTGTATCATGGGCATTTGTGTATCGTTGATCTGTTGACTTGTGCTCCCATCTTCCTTTCAACCATCCAAAACTCACTTGTGAATGGAACATGCCTGTGGGGCTACTCTTCAGCATTTCACGGAGCTGGCAGATTGTACATTTTGAAGATGTACATTTGTACATCCAGTGCAAGGGCAATTGTACATTTCTTTGTTTTTAGCCTGTTTCTCACGGTTCATGCATTTCATGTTGTCTGCACAGCACAGTGTACCAAGATATCCTCAGCAATGATCCTACTCGCAGGCAACAAGCGAAGAACAAATGGATGGCATCTTTCAGAAACTGCATAAGATATTTCAAGAATATGCTGCAGTTGCTCTTGGACAAGAAGCTGCCACCACACTGCTCAGAACAGGTGAGGAAGGTATCCAATATATGACCAGGATGTTGTTTTGCTTTATTATATGGGTGGTGGCTTATTTGAGTAGTTTAAATAGAATTATTTCTGTTTTGCAAGTTTTGCAACAAGAAGTGGATCAAGGATTCCAAGTCCAGGGAAAGCGTGAGGATCACTGTCACTCCTTCAAAAGAGACATCACAGATCTGCAGTCCAGTCTGTCAAGTCCCCATGCACCAAAATATATTGACGTTCACCCACTAAGACCAGTGATCAACAAAACAACGTATGAAGCACATCAGAACTTTGTGAAAAGCATTCACTCTAGGGTAGGTTGCTCAGAACATCATTGGTAGTTGTCAGCCACATAGGGCCTGGGCTACCTATAGAAGCATCTCAATGGATATTCTGGTTGAAAATATCTCAAGATGCCCTGATGACATATCATGGGATATGAGATTTGTACCCCATCATCCTCTGTAACAAGGGTGGAAAGCCCTTTCCAGGGCAAGGGCAATATTCCCTTCTAGGGACATAGGCCAGTGATGGGTGGGACCAGGGTGACAGATGTAAATCTTACCTTTGTACAGTGGGCAAATTTCTACACACATCTCTCTCTATCCTCCATCCAGACATACAAGAGGAATCACCAGAGTGCAAAGGCACATTCCAGCCAGGCAAAACACTTGGGGATGGGGGGTGCAATAAAACCAGTGAGTGTGGCCTGGGGAAATTTCTTAGGGCCAGATCAATAGGCCTGGAGGGCTGTATTTGGCCCCCGAGCCTGAGATTACCCACCCTGCTCTACAACATAGCAAAGGGAATCCTGGGGTCTCTATCTTGAACTGTGCAGTGCAGTTGCTTCGGGCAAAATGTATTGAACACCACTTAAGAAATATTTTTTCTTAAGCTGTCCACAATATCCATGAGGAAATGAAGAAAACATTTCCCACTCTGTCTACCACTGCATTCTACATAATGATCTGCAAGTGTGTACTCTGTCTGCTTTCAGTAAACCAATTCAGACCTTTTTCAGAAACCATTTCTAAGTACTATTATATACATTTTCACCACCTCACCCTGCCCCCACCAGACACTTTTGGCCTTGATTTTAATTTATTTTAATCCTGTTATCTGAATTTGTAATCTTTCTCAGTTATCCCACAATATGCACTTTTTAAAGCTTTGTTCCTCTTCCTTCTTTATTGCCACCTCTGCTTGTCATTAGTCACTGACTTTCTTAAGCCATGCTCTAGACCTGAAAATGATGGAAGCAAAGTAGAGCCTTTAATGAGCAGGTAAAACCTGACAAAATAAATATCATTGCTTCATCTTTTATATATAAACCTACACTCTAACCCCAAACACACTAGAGGGAACCAAATAGGAAGCACCATTTTCATTTATTTGCATTTCTCCGCATGAGCTTCAAACTATGCTATTGACAGAATTAGCTTACTATTTTCAAAGGAAAGGTCTTCATTGATTCCTTTCCCAGCATGTCTCTGTGCAATCTCAGACCAGAACATTGCACTGTTACAACATAATACAGCTTGAAAGAAACATCTTCATTTGCTAGGCTGAAATAAACTATAGTCAATGAAACATTTGTATTATTATTTTGCATACAATTTATCCTTAGAGAAATAGTGTCAGCTAGATCTGTGGTACTCAAAATCTCCTACTGCATTCTAAACACTGGATGGCCATGTTCCTAATGAAACGGTACTGTTTAAATGAAACTTATTCCTATAAAATACGCCCAGGGACATAACCTAACATACCCTCCAACATTTCTCCAATGAAAATAGGGACGTCCCATTCCATAACGATAATTTTACTATTTATACCCCACGCATCTTACTGGGTTGCCCCAGCCACTCTAGGCAGCTTCCAACATATATAAAAACATAATAAAACATTAAACATTAAAAAAAAGCCCGTAGAGGATTCCCTTCAGACGGCTCGGGGGTCAGATAATTCCATACCCTCCGCCATATCTCCAGTGAAAATAGGGACATCCTAAGGAAATGTGGGACATTCTGGGATCAAATCAGAAACCAAGACAGCTTCTCTAAATCAGGGACTTCCCTGGAAAATAGGGACATTTGGAGGGTCTGAGCTATAAGTATGAAGAACTTACACTACAAAAAGATTAAGCAGGTTTAAGTTGATCTTAAAGGTAAAGGTAAAGGGACCCCTGACCATTAGGTCCAGTCATGGCCAACTCTGGGGTTGCGGCGCTCATCTCGCTTTATTGGCCAAGGGAGCCGGCGTACAGCTTCCGGGAAGACTAAGACGCTTCTGGTGAACCAGAGCAGCGCATGGAAACTCCGTTTACCTTCCCGCCAGTGTGGTACCTATTTATCTACTTGCACTTTGACGTGCTTTCGAACTGCTAGGTTGGCAGGAGCAGGGACCGAGCAACAGGAGCTCACCCTGCAGACAGACCTTCCCTAAGAATTGCCACCCATGCAGGCACAATGCTAGGAGGGTCAGTGGAAATGGTTAGGGAGCAGGATCGGCAAGTCCTAGGCTCTGTGGGTTAACCCACAGCGCCACCCATAAGTTGATCTTACTCTGGCACAAAGACTCAGTTTATCATTCAAAACTTCTCTGATTCAAACAGTTATTCTCTTCAGTATTGTTCAGTCAGCTGTTTCCTTGTTTGGGTGGTGGATGATGCCAACATTATAGGCTTGTCTTTACAGCTTCGTCACACAAATATCTACAGAAAGAGCATTAACTGGGGAAGAGATGGCATCAACCCCACCACCAACAGATCCCATGCTTACTACCTTGAATGCCTTTGCAATGACTTTCAGAAAATTGTCATCAATCATTTCAACAGGTCAGCCACATAACTGCTTCTTTGATGAAACAGTTCATAATGTATACATGACTTAATAGTGAAGGTTCATTCCATTATACTTCAATATAGAAGTAGTTTTCCCATGGCACCTTAAATAATCAAAGCCTAAAAAATATGACAGTTGAAAATTTCTGATGTATTGTTTGCTCTGTTTCACTTCCTCACATTAATTACGGAAGTAATTACCACAAGAGGAGGAGATGGGCAGTAACTTAGGTGGCTTCAAAGAGGATCTGACAGATTCATGAGGATAGGTCTGCATGGCTATTAGACATTATAAATAAGAAAAGAACTTCATTTTCAGAGATAATATACCTGGGAGGACCTGTAGTTACAGGAGGTAACTTTCCCCATCATACAGTACTTATAACTTACCAAAATTGTCTGATTGGTCTCTAGTAGAGGCAGGATGTGCATGATTTAAGAAAGCCAAAACCACAAAAAACCACAAAAAAACCCAACCCTCTTGTACTTTCACATATTTTGTGGAGCAAATTAAAGAAATATAGTATGGTTTGGCTTCCTTGTCAAAAAACAGTGCAGACAGACCTTCCCTAAGAATTGCCACCCATGCAGGCACAATGCTAGGAGGGTCAGTGGAAATGGTTAGGGAGCAGGATCCAGTGGTCCAAAGTTGCATTTTAGACTTCAGGTGAAGTCTTTCCAAAATGCCATTTCTAGCAAGTGGGCATAAGGGCTTGAAGATGGGTAATCAGTGGCACTTAATACTATGTGACACGTGTGTGTGTGTGTGTGTGTGTGTGTGTGTGTGTGTCTAAATCAGGAGGAGGTAATTCTTGGCACTGCTGAGAAAATAAAGCTGTTTTAGTCACTTGTGATGGTGCTAAAAAGCCATACGATTTTTGAATATTGTGATTAATAGCATTAATAAAATGATTCCAATATGAGCACTTATAGATCCCATGCTGTGGGGTCGCTAATAAGGCATCCTCCAGAGGCTGGGGGTTATAAATGGCATCAGTCCAAACTAGTTGCAGCTGATGGGAGTTGTACGTCTGGAGGACATCACATTGGCTAACCCTTGCCATGTGGTTGCCAACAATCATATGAGAATGTTGACACCACAAACACATTTTGTGCATTTCTTTACAAGGATAGTCTTTTCCCTTGTTTGTCACTTCTGAATGCTGGAAATTGTGATTAAATAATCACCAGCATTCTCCCGTGTATATCCTCGTATTTGGACATTCATAAAAGGAACTAGGTTTTTCAACATCCTCACGTGGTTGTCAACAACTACATGTGTGGTGACATCTAGCTGGGATATGAATGGAAGAAAATTAATAACACTGTCCAAAAGTCACTGTAACCTATACACAATGTTGAAATGTGGTTTAAAACTTTTCCCCTCCATGTTTTCATTTGACCAGAACAATCCATTTGAAGGAGATTCAAGAAATGCTACCTGTGCGAAGAAAGCAAGTATTTGAAACTCATAATGACGACGAGGTTCTGGAACATATCTGGCACTGTCAGGCCTTGTGAGTTTGGTGGTGTTTGGTTGCTTAATTTACTTTAGCCAGGCTTCATGATGGAGAACAGCTGAAGAGTTGATATGATAGTTGTGATTTAAGAACAATCTTATTAGCAGCCTCTATTGAAGTGAAAATCTGACCTACCCATTCATTGGGGCAGCATTCTAGTCATTCAACAAGAGCATATATGAAGGAAAATTAAATGATACCAATTCCTACTCACACCCACACCCTGCCTCTTACCAGAACATAGACATGTTTGAGAAATAAAAGTTGTACTCTTGTAAATCACTTCTTCTCTGCTACCAACATGCCACCCAAGTGCTTTCTGGACATTAGATGATACCTAATATAAGGTTTTCCAGTGCCCTTGAAGGGCCGGCTCATTAGGCAAGGTGAGACAATCCACTCTGGGGAAGGTGGATTTAAAAGTACCATTAATGGACAGCATATTATCAAATATTCAGTTCTACTATTGAAATTTTACCACCAAAAAGGGCACCATTTGGATTTTCTTCAATCATCATCGTCATCATCAAATAATTTATTTATATGCCATCCATCTGACTAGGTTGCCCCAGCCACTCTAAGCGGCTTCCAGCTAATCAAAACATCAAACAGGCAGCAGGGAGGTCAGGTCTGCATGGGTGCACCTGTGGGGTTGGCAGCAGTTCAGCTCTCCTGCTGGTGCATCCCTCTGGCCCTGAACTCAGTCCCATCCTGCCCCATCCCTGTCCAGGTAAGCTGTTGTGGCTTTGATGTCGGTAGGGGTTGCTGAGCCCCACCACATGCATCACTATCCCAACCAGCATCTCAGAGTACTGCAAGAGCTTCCTGCTCAGCTCTTGTCTTTCTTGAGAAACCTGTTCACCCACTTCCTTATTCATTCACCTGGGACATGTAGGGAAGGAAAAGGCACTGATAACCTAACAAAGGAGAGAGTTGTCAAACATGTTATCAAGTAACCATACCCTCCTCTGTGGATGGCAGGATGGATCTATCTGGATACTAAATCTAGATTGAAAGTAGCATGTTGTGGAAGAGCATGAATGATTATAGACTGAGAAAAACTACATTTATTTATTTATTTGCTACAAATGGGTAACCCTAATTCACTTTCTGCCCCTTGCTGGAGGAATAAAAATAAGTCATCCTCCAAGCACCTCCTAGGAGTGCTGGGCCACTTACTTGTAGCTCTCAGATACGTTGATATAGGATTTTAGGCTGCATACTGAAATAAATATTCTCTTATGACAATACACACCACACCTTTAAAGCACATCCAAAGCACATTGCCCTGCCCATTCACACCTGAGAATCATATTAAATGCAGTTTACCCCTCCCAGAGCTACAATTCTCAGCTTCCTCAAGAAACTGCAGTTCCCAGGATTCTTTGTGGGCTTTAAATGTGTTTTAAAGGTATGGTGTGTGCACAGCACCAGCCAGTACACAGTGGTGACTGAACACAAATAGTGTTTTGTTTTTCCCTCTCAAAACAGGGTTAAATGTCAAATAGGAAGAGAAATGTTTTTGTGCAAACTGAAGAATCGTCTTGCATCCTCGAACAGAAGGCTAGTTGTAATTTGTGGAGAGGCTGGATGCGGGAAAACTGCCGTCATAGCAAAAGCCGCTTCTTTGGCTCCTAGCTGGATATCTGGGTAAGGGCCTCTCGCAGCCTCACACATATTTGGAACATAGATAAAAGTTCTTGAATAAAGATACAGTGGTACCTCGCAAGACGAATGCCTCACAAGACAAAAAACTCGCTAGACGAAAGGTTTTTCCGTTTGCGAGTTGCCTCGCAAGACGAATTTCCCTATGGGCTTGCTTCGCAAGACGAAAATGTCTCGCGACTTTGTTTCCTTTGTCTAAATAATAATTCGCAAGACGAAAAATTCGCTAGATGACAAAACTTGCGGAACGAATTAATTTCGTCTTGCGGGGCACCACTGTAATAGAGATAAACCCAGTGTTACCCATATCCAGCTCCCAACTGCTGCTTAAGTAAAGGTAAAGGTACCCCTGCCCGTACGGGCCAGTCTTGACAGACTCTAGGGTTGTGCGCCCATCTCACTTAAGAGGCCGGGGGCCAGCGCTGTCCGAAGACACTTCCGGGTCATGTGGCCAGCATGACAAAGCTGCATCTGGCGAGCCAGCGCAGCACATGGAAACGCCGTTTACCTTCCCGCCAGTAAGCGGTCCCTATTTATCTACTTGCACTTGGGGGTGCTTTCGAACTGCTAGGTTGGCAGGCGCTGGGACCAACAACGGGAGCGCACCCCGCCGCGGGGATTCGAACCGCCGACCTTTCGATCGGCAAGCCCTAGGCGCTGAGGCTTTTACCTACAGCGCCACCCGTGTCCCTAACTGCTGCTTACTAGCTACCATATTTGCTCCCTTTGATTTGTCTTAGCTGGTATCACAGAGTGCTGTGAGTCCTGTGAAATGTAAAATTATTCCATATTGATAACAATATATAAACTAAACTAATACCTTTATATTTGCATATTTTACTCTGAGCTCAACATTCACTGTACACAACGTTAAGTCCGCCTTCAACTAGATGATATAGTAATGGCACACATACATTGATTTAACAGCTAAACACATGTATTAAAAAGAAAACTATTTTATTTTATTTGCTTTTTTCCAATATTCATTCAGGAACCTCAGAGTTGTAATTCGATTTATTGGTGTTACTGGTGAAAGCAGAAATATCCGACTGACTCTTTTCAGTCTTTGCTACCAGATAGCTTCTATATACAAGGTCTCGGTTAATTTATCCAAGGTAATGAATTAAATTTTCCTTCTTTTTAAGGCTCAAAAAAAAATTATACTGTTGCATTTTTACGGCAGCAGCACCTACATGCACACACTTTCCCCTCCACATGATTCAGCAAGAAATAAAAGTTAGGAATGGAAAACGACAAAATAGCTCAAGCATAATGCTGACAGTGCTGCTCAGATAATGAAAGGTCAGAACCCAAGAAACACTTTTCAGCAAATGACCAGTGCTATTACAGCTGACAGTGCTCATATCAGTTCAACATGGGGAAGCAAAGCGGTTCCTGAGGCACATCTCCATCACTGCATCATCAAACACTTGTGTTACATGTCTACAGCCAACTCATGTCAGAGAACATCTCCAAAGTTAAGACAGATTTCCCACAATTTCTATTGCCAACACCTTTTTAATATTCTGCAAGCCATTAGGAATCCCTTGGTATCCATTATTTTTGCTGAGCTGACATTTCATTTCCGCTCTTTACTCAATCATAGTCTTTAATAATAATAATCATTCTTACCTAGGAATGAATAGATTGGTTTATTTCCACGCCATATCAGTTTCTTATGTGTTCATTCGTAAGTCTGTTTTGTCACATTTCCACATCAACCTGTGAATTTTATTAAATGCATGAAAATTCAAATTGTTTCCACACATATGTTTTCAAAAATATACCCTAAAATACACATTTTTATACATAGCTTTTAGCTGAAAACAGTGTTGCAAAAATTTGAAGATGTGCTTGATTTGGATATAGCAGCAAAAATGAATAAGGACTATGAACTTTTGTGGAAACATATCACAGGGCTCTCTGGAACATGTAATTTTGAAGCACCTTTTCCTCTATGAAGAACTTCTGCAACATTTATTGAAGAAAAAGGTTTATCTGGAAAAGGTAACAACCTTCTGGGTTATGTCAGCTAAAGGATAACAATGAATGCAAATTAAGTTGATTAGCTGAAAAATGTTGAACGAAATTTTCCGGCATCTCTGTTCCTGTGACCCAACACAGTATCCCTAGCTACTTGGGACTGGCTAAAATGTTTGCTATCTTTCTCAAAAAGGATTTTGAAGGATTGGTGGAAGAGTTTCTCTCTTTACTGGAGTCTGCCACACAAGACAAACCACTTCTAATATGTCTGGATGGCATAGATGAATTATCAGAGGAATATGTCACAGATTTTCCTTGGATACCTCCTGAATTACCAAAGAATGTGTATTTTATTGTTTCCACGTGCACCGAATCAAGTTTTTCATGCTTCAAAAAACTGGAGGTAAAGTAATACCTTATTCAGTTGTGGTTTTTTTTTCATTCCACACTTTCTCAAACAATGGGAAATTCCAAGGCAGTTTGGTAGGGTCAGTACTGGACACTTTCAGCACAATCCTATCCTTGAAAGAAAGTCCTGTTGGAATCAATGGGTCTAAGTCCCACATAGGTGTGTACAGGATTGCAACCTTAAGGGCCTTGAACCAGTCCACCATGAGCACAAATGTTCATGGATTCCCACATAGGGCTTAGAACTTCGTGACCCACCCCATATCCTTAGGGGAAAGTGAGAGTCGTGCCCTACTTTTGCTTTCCTTGAGGAAGTGGAAGAGGTAAGTTGGCTGGGGATATGAAACTTGTACCTAGAGCTCCCATTCCATGTAATAATAGACTAGCATATTCAGTGCTCATGGGCTTAGGCCTCAGAGTGGATCCTGACTCTGTTATGCTCTATGCAGACCTTTCTAAATGTGGGTATTGCTGTACCCACATTGACCCATTGGATAAAGCCCATGGTGATTTGTGGTATCTGTTTATTTAAAGCTTGAGTAATTTATTTACTGAATTTATATTCTACCTTTCCTCTCAAAGGAGCCCAGGGCAAATAGGAAGGTATAGGTAAGAGAGTGTTAGATTTACAACAACATTCACCCCAAAGCAACAGCAGACCCTGGAGAGACTTTAGGTTATAAAAGCTTTCTTTCTTTGGCCATATACAAACTGTTCTGTTTGGCTTCCTTGGTGTGTATACACTTTTTCCTCTGGGTTTTCCCACACTGGAGCAAAATGTGGATTCGCACTAGCCTGTCTCTACATTAACAGAGGGGCATCTACATGACACTTCCCCTATGCCAGTGTCATCCTGTACCTTTCCCCTTTTAAATGCAGTGTTTTTTCCCCTATCCTTGGAAAGTCCAAAAAAGACTAGGATCAAAAATCCCTGCATTTAAGGCAGCCATTTCATTCTACATCTATGCCATAATTCCAAGGTCAGTTACGTCTGTGTTTTGTACCCCAGCCCTTTCCCAACATCAGATGGGAGTCAAGAAAGGTAAGACACAGGAGAGTGTCAGATTTTGCTCCAGTGCCTCTCTGATCTGTCTAGTCTAAAAGAGAACATGCCACCTATATTTTATAGGCAAACTGCCACACAGGTGTTTAGTATTAACCCTGAGTCTTGATTCAAAACTTGAAGATCCAACCTGTGGAATCCTGGCAGAGATTTATAGGTATCATTATCTGCCCCACAAATCTGGTTATTGGATGAAGAAGTGCTGAAATCCAGTGATATTAAATCCTTTCTCGGTTCTTATATTTTACAGTAAATAGGCTGTCTTGTATTAGGCTGGCAAAGTGACACCAACTCGATTAGCATTGATCAGGCCTGGAGACAATGTGATCAGGGGCAGACTTTGGTCTTTCAAATTTCAGCGGCACCCTGTGCGAGGCCAAAATTTGGTCCTCCCCCATCTTTTGCCTACCGTTTTGCACATGCACTACATCATAGCTTCAATGCTGCAAGTGCTCTAAATCTGCCTCTGATATGATAACTGAGATATGCTTCTTTTCCTCAGAAAATAACAGCAAAAGAGAATATTTTACAAATACCTCCTTTGACTTTTGGAGAAATAAATGAGATGATCGGCTCCTGGTTAGAAAAGGATTCCCGAAGACTTTCCCAGCAACAGCATGATCGCCTAATGGAAGCATGCACAGCCTGCCCAGTACCACTCTTTGTATACTGTGCCTATAAAGAGTCCTGTTTATGGACATCTTTCACCGCAGAGGTGTGTCTTCCTCAAAATATACCTGAACTGTATTCATGGACACTGAGCAGAATGGAAAAATCCCACGGAGAGCAAGTTGTAAAAAAGATGGCAGCTTATACCACACTTTCAAGAAATGGCATTACTCAGGAAGAGCTACTCCACCTTATGTCAACGGATGATGTGGTTATTAAGGAAGTAGCTAAATTCCAAAAAGTCTCAATTTCAGCATTCCCGCTAGTGTTGTGGTTGAAACTTTTGGATGATTTTGGAGACCACCTGAAAGAGCAAAGAACTGACCACACTTATGTTTTTAATTGGGCTCATACATCTCTGAAACATGTCTGCATGGACAGATATCTCAGAACACAGGATTCCCAGGCATCGCTGCATGCCACCTTTGCAGATTATTACCTGAGTAGAATTCCACATAAACTCATTGAAATGTCTGCATTTCAACCTTTGGCCTGGACTTTAGAAAAAGAGTCCAAGATCAGCTACACCTTTAACATTCGTAAGCTCCTTGGGGCTCCGTATCACCTCATCAAATCTAAGAATATTACTGCCTTAATCAAAGAATGTCTCTTTAATTATGAGTTTCTCTTATACAAAGCCTGGGCTTCATCAGTTATCAGCATTGAAGCGGATCTAAGAGCAGCTATCGATGCAGACAGGTAGGCTTACAGCAGTAGAACACAACTGTGAATGTCTAGGGCTTGTTTTACTTAATCACAAACCCTCATACTTACAGCCTGTCATCAACTAAGCTGGTATGATAGTAGGGCCTGCCCAAGAGAGTTGGCTGCCTCAGGTGAAAGACAAAATGGTGCACTCCATTTTTCTATGTGGTGGCCATTGACTCTTAGGCCTCATTTGCACTATACATTTAGAGCAGTTTGATACCATTTTTAACAGTGGACCCAGCTATACAGCTGCAAATAAAATGCTTTAAATGTGTTGTAAAGTACAATATACAAATGAGACACTAGATGGCAACAGTGAGCTATGCCAAATTCAATGTATTTTTCAAAACTTTTTAAAAAAGGGATTATCACAGGTTTTTTTTTAAATATGTGTGTAGATTCCACCAGTCACAGCTTATCCCAAAGAATTCTGGTAACTACAAAGAATTCTGAGAACTAGAGTTTGTTAAGAGTGCTGAGAGTTGTTAAGAGACCCTTCTTCCCCTCACAAAACTATAATTTTCAGGATGGTTTACAGCCAATCCCTCTTCCCATTGAACTGTGGGAACTGTAACTTGGACAGGAAAATAAGGGTCTCCTAACAACTCTCAGCACTTTAAAAACTAGTTCTCAGTATTCTTTAAGTGAAGCCAGGACTGCTTAAAGTGATATGATCCCGCTTTCAATGTGTTGTGCAGATGGGGCCTTTCTTTAATGCAGGTAAATTGATCTTCACCCCACCTATGGGCAGCAGGCTAGCTGAAAGGTGGGCACATATTGCTCTATCTTCCAAACCACTTCCATTATAGCACTGTTCAGCAATCCATTTTGTTTAACAATCAAAGCTACATTCAAATAAAGATTCTAGTTACATGCTAATCAAGTTATTATGAGTTTAGTTTCCATCCTGCCCCTCAGCTGGCCTTTCATTTCTTAACAATAAATAGTTGAGTCCCACAATGTTTCTCTGTGAAAACCACTTCTCTGTAAAAACCCCTCTAGTGTTTTATTGATATTAGAGCAAGGAAACTCTAATGTGATGTGATTTCCTGCCCCCTTGCCTCCTCCACAGGACTATACGTGACTTAACTTTATTAAGTGAAGCGCTCAAGTTATCCAAGAAAGTTTTACTACAAGACCCATGTCAGATGGCTTCACAGCTTGTAGGCCGCCTTCATCGTATAGTTGCAGCAGATAAACCAGTGGCCCCAGGTACTGAAAATTATGAGATGTAGATTTTTCAGCAAGTATTTTGCATTTTCTATATTTTTGATATTTTGTTTTGAGCTCCAACCATTATTTGTCACTACTGGAACAGAACCCAGGGCCAGCCCAGCCATTTGGCAAAGTGAAGCCACTGCCTTAGGCAGTGGAAACCCCTAAAGTGGTGCCTCTGCAAATGTCCCACCCTCTCTGCCACTGGAGCCAAATTTGCACTAGCATCTTTCGGGGCACATGAGATCTCACCCAAAATCATCGCTGATTCCATGCGCCACTTCTCCACAGGACAGGGTGGCACTTCCTGTTTTGCCTCAGGCGGCGAAACAGGACGTGATGGCCCTGGCAGACCCAAACTATACTTACGTACATGTTTCCCAGAGGATTAGTCTTGACAGGAGGCAGAAAGGAATACTGGAGGCAAATGTAAGAATGTAATTGAGGGCTGTAGGCCTTTTTCAGTCTAAGGACTGCATTCCCTTCTGAGGAATGGGGCCAGTGATGGGGCCAGAGGCAAAAGTGGGCAGAACAACAAATGTAAATTTTACCTTTGTAGTCTAATTTCCACACACACACATACATACAGACACACACTCCTCTCTGTACTCCATCCAGGGAGGACTAACTCGTTTTCAGAGTTCAAGGACAACATTCCAGTCAGACAAAAAACATTAGAGGTGTGAAACACACACAGTGAGGATTGCGGCCTGAGGAGACTTCTGAGGGTCAGAGAGAAAGAGACCTGGGTGGCTCCCTATTCAGCCCCTTGGCCTGAGGTTCTCCACCCGTAGGGATGGAAACATGCATTTTAAAACATTTGAAATAATGCAGAATTCAAGGTAACAGGGTAAAAACAACAACCCCATTTCATATTTATTACTGTTTTAAAACCAGCTCATTGAATGACTAAGATACATTATTTTGTGTTGGTTCAGGTGATCCTAAAAAATATCCCTATCTGCCAGCTCTTTTGTCCCAGTGTCAGAAATCTTCTATTCCTGTTCTTCTACCTTCAACAGCCTGCCTTATAGAACCTGGTAGACTTCTCTGCGACCTTTTGAGAGGTAAGGGAGAATAATATTAATCTTTTAGAAACCTTTTAATGGCAAATCAGTGCCGAAGTTCTAAGCCCTCTAAGCCCTTTGCAAGATTTTGCTAAAGACCGGAAGTTATGAAGTTTCTAGCAACTTTTGCTTGATATTTATTCCCTTTGTATATCATTTTAGCGTTGCATCTATAATTCTTACCATTCAGTCCCTTCCGCACCACTAGAAAAGCAATTAGACCTTGGATAGAGAGAGAAAATAATCACATTGTTTCTTACAAAACTTGTGTTTTGGCTGCTCTGCCTGATTGCTGACATTTTGCTGCCTGAGGCAAAATATAAGATGGTGCCCATCCCCATTTAGAAAGTGACCCCCATTTAGAAAGATTTAGAAAGTTTCATGATATTGTGCTCAGGTGGCATGAGACATATTCTGGGCTAAGTGATTATGGGCTTGATAATGGATAGGGTGGTCATGTGTCCTATTCTACAGAGGGCAGTCCTCTGTTTGAAGGATGTCTCCTATTTGAAGGTCTGTCCAGTCCAAGTCAGATTTAAAAATAGAGATCTAAAAGAAGGGAAAACAGAGCCCTTGAAATTGCCCATCAACAGTTAGGACCTGGACTGTAGGCTGAGCAAGCAAGCATGATGATCAACCTAGGCCCTGTCTTCCCCAGCCCCCGCCATCATGGTGATATGTACTTACATTTAAATTATTATGGTAATTATTCCTAAATATAGTTTATGTTCTCTTTTTAATTATTATATTGTTTTAATGGGTTTCTTTATTGTATTAACTGGATGTTTATTTTAATGGTTTGATGGAATTGTTTTAGTGTGTATTTTAATTATCATGGAATCATAGAATTATAGAGTTGGAAGGGACCCCAAGGGTCATCTAGCCCAACCCCCTGAAATGCAGGAATCTCAACTAAAGCATCCATGACAGCTGACCATCCAGCCTCTGCCTTAAAAAACTTATTATAATCAGTTTTCTAAACCGCTAAGAAACCATTTTGACAAGTAAGTGGTATAAATTAATAAATGATGATGAACAGCTACCCATTTATCTGAATTTCAGAGGAAGGTAAACAATTCTAATTGATTTTACTGAAGCTGCTTTTCCCCAGAGTGAATTCTAACATTTTACTCCCTGGATCCATAGGTCACTTGGACAGAATTGTAGCAATTGGAGAAACCCAGGAAGAACTCACTGTTGCAACAGTCTCCAGTGATGGCACTCTGAAATTCTGGGATTTGAGGGTCGGCAGAGCTGTCTTCACTCTGCATGGAGTTGGGAATAATATCAGTGCAATTGCAGTGTGTCTGGAGAACAGACTGGTGGCTGTGTCTGACAAAAGCACCATTAAAATCTGGGATCTTTCCTTGGAAAAAGTGGTATATGCAACTGGCGAATTTGTTGGTACTCCAATACTAACATCTGCAATGAATGGGCACCTCTTACTGGTGTTTTTTAATGGCAGCCACATGGTTAAGGTGAGGTGTTGTTTTTAAAAAAATCACATCTATGACAGTGGGTAAAATTATGTTCTGTGCACTAACGTGGTTGGTTGTGTTTTGCTAGATTTTTGTGCTGTTATTTCATTGGTATTGTATTGAATTTAAGTCTTTAAGTTGTTTGGAACTGTTTGTCACCCCGTGAATCTTGGATATGGGGAAACTATAAATGTAATCGATAATAAAGCAAACAAGACTTAAGGATTACTAACCTTTGAATCAGGTCTTGTGTAGATCAGCAGACATTAACAGATATTTTGATACTGATGCTGGGATCAGAAGAAAGAGATACAGGATTCAAGCTTTTAATTGTATTCCAAGTGGTCTTACATAACCACTTTTTACAGTTACCTTTCTTGGCGATTTTACAGTTTGGGCTCAGTACTGAGAGCAGGAAAGGCACGCAGCATAGCTTTACATAGATACAAAGTAGTCAGCAGCCATCTCAAACCAATTCATTTCCATACTATATTATATTTCAGGTTTTTGATCTTGCTCATTCCTGTCAGTTGCTCCATGAGGTATACCTTTCTACAGAGGAAGAGCCTACCTGCAAGACCAATTCCATTTTGGTGTCCAAAAATTCAGTAAAAGATTATGTTCTCTGTGCCTTTAGGTTAGTAGAATGTAATTTATTGTATTAAAATAAATAGTAAACTCCTCTCTATAGAAAGACCCTATGCATTTGAGAAATCTTTCATAAAGAAATAGATCAACCATAAAACTGTTTAGTCACTACTTTGATGTATTCTATATGGGTGGAACTAAACATCGCACAAATACGATAATTCAGGCAACAAAGGCATTTCTGTTTGCTAAATGGAACAACCTCCCCTCTCCTTCTTCACACACTGTTCAGCAGATTCTCCAAACTCTCCAGAGTGGATTTGGGAAAGGCATGGGGGGAATTTAGGGGAAGAAAGCAGAGTGAAAGCTCAATTGCACTATCCAAAGTCCTTGCACTGGCTTCTGCTAGTCCCCCAGCTTCGTGGAATCCAGCCCTATGTTCTCCAACACAATAGTATTCTCGCTATTTCTCCCCATCAGTACCACAATGCCTTCATGCAATCTTTCCATCTGGTACCCCTCACATCTAGTTTTGGACTACAACTCCTATAATTCCTGACCATTGGACATGCTGACTGAGTTTGTGGTCTAAACATCTGGGGAAGGCTGCCTTAATGTTTCAGTCTCAAACTACATGTCTCCCTCCACATTCCTAATTACTTAACAGGGGAATGTAGTTTTGGTCTGAAACAGGGTCTGAAACAGGGACTAAAGAGAAATTAACATGTCCCCAGAAGTTGGGGCAAGAACATTCACAAGCTGGTGCATCTTCCTATGCAATTAAGCTATACAATTTCTCACAGGCATCTGGTTGGCCACTGTGAAAACAGGATGTTGGATTAGGTAGGCCATTGGCCTGATCCAACAAGCTCTTTTAAAGTTCTTATGCTTTGCCATAGATATGTGGCTATTACAAGGAAGATCTCTGTTGTAGGGAAATATTTTCCTGTGAATACATTAGTAGAGAAACTGGGTTGTAGCTGACAAAGTCATCCCTTTTGTGCAAAGTCATCCCTTTTGTGCAAAGTCATCCCTTTTGTGGTGGAACTGCCCCCCTCTCCCCATTTGATGTGCCTCCCAAATCCAGAGGGTTGCAGAACAGGGTTTTTTTTTGGGGGGGGGAGACAAATGGTGCAGGGGAGGGGAAGTTGCATTGCACAAGGGGGAGATCTTGTGTGAATGGAACATCCATTGGATACAACCCACTGGTTTTAGGCCCAATCAGACTTGAGAAAGATAAACAGGTATGTCTTTAGAAAATTAATGTTTCCTGGCTTCAATAATTTCTGCAAAAGGAGAACAGCAGCATGCCTCAGAAACTAGGGTTTTATTTGTATCTTTTCTTCTTGGTGGATTTGGATGTAAAATCAACATTGCCACTTTTAGAGATTCACATGGTCATTATTGTAAACAAATTGTGACTTTGAGGATGATCATTGCCTATGTGGTCTTGATTCTGTAACATTGTGGCTTCCGTAAATCTCTCTCCTCTCTTTTGCAGGAGTGGAAGTGAAGCCATGGTCTTTAGTGGCAAAAAGGGGAAAGTAGTTGCTAAGCTGAAAAGCCAAGAACCAGTGGCAGCTGCTGAGGATGTTGCTGTAACTAAGGAATATTTCCTAGTGATCTTCAGGTATTACTTGGAAAGAACAACTTTTTCTACCCTCTTTCAACTGACTATCAGTTGACCATTCCGGTAATATGGTATAAAATCACTCACACCCGCACATCAAAATTTTATATGTCTACACAGGTAAGCCCTGTTGAATTAAATGGGATTTGCTCCCAAATTAGTATAGGATTTCAGCCTCAGGATGAAGAAAGCAGGGGCAATTGACCAAAAAAAGTGATAGGGTGAGGGTAGCCTGACCCTGTCTAATTTCCTTTGTGAACCTATGATGCCTCTCCTTTTAAAATATTTACCTTTGATTATATGATCAGAAGGTTGGCGGTTCGAATCCCCACAACGGGGTGAGTTCCAATTGCTCGGTCCCTGCTCTTGCCAACCTAGCAGTTCGAAAGCACATCAAAGTGCAAGTAGATAAATAGGTAAACAGTGTTTCCGTGTGCTGCTCTGGTTCGCCAGAAGCTGCTTAGTCATGCTGGCCACATGACCTGGAAGCTGTACGCCGGCTCCCTTGGTCAAGAACGCGAGATGAGCGCCGCAACCCCAGAGTTGGCCACAACTGGACCTAATGGTCAGGAGTCCCCTTTACCCCCCCCCCCCTTATACCTGAAATGAATGTGAATATCACAGAGTTCTTTCTTAACTTAATCTTGCAAAGCCTTGAATTTATTTAGAACTTTAGGAGGCTTATTAGGACAAAACTTGAAAACCTCTGTTTGAAACCTGCCACATTGCAGCCTCTTTGCAAAATTCACTTTTTTTATTAGTACTACCACTACTACTTCTCACTTCTAATTTATAACATTGAAGATATAGTTTATTGACCCTTTGGAGTAGGTAACTGTTGGTTCTATTTTACATGAAGTGAGAGAAGTAAGTACCATAATTTGCTTAATGCCATCCTGGATTCTCTGTTTATCATAGATACAGTAACATACTTTTCACATCACTACTGTCCTTGAACATAAGTTTTCCTTCACTCTTCATTCATTACTGCTTTTTAGACAGCCAGAAATTACAATACTTATGTCACACAACCCACCCATATTAGCTTTTTCATTACAGGTGTCCCTTCATGAAACAGCGTGAGATTGTGCATATAGAGCTCTACAATGTCCACACTTTTGCCTATGCTCACAATCTGAAGGGATGCTGCAATGATTATATTCACATTTTTGCTGTGAATCATTTGGGCTCTCACCTGCTGGCGTTCAGCCCCATCCCAAACACCAATACCACTGAAATAGTGTCGTGGAACCTGGAATCTGAAGACCACAAGCACTTGGTGAAGTTTCCTTCAGTCCCAGCTGGTGGTGAGTAACTTTTATAGGAAGTTCAAAACCTCTATAGAAAAAGCCGCAAGAGAAACATGCACTTTTGTACAATGAAAACAAGGGGAAAATATAAAATTATAGCAATTCTCAGTGAGGACATTCACCAGCACATAACTCCAAATAAGGTTATCAGGAAATCTAAATACAGAGTGTATCTGTATATTGAAGTCAGTATATATGCCATGAGTGGGGAACCTACAGCATGTGGCTCAGTGAAACAGCTGTGAGTTTCATAGGTCTAGACAACCCATGTTTTTCTAGTAACATGATTAGAGTTTTATTATGCAATGTTGAGATTTTATGACTAATGGTTCTTTTAAATTATGATAAATATGTAGGTGTATGCTCTGACCTTCGGTACTGTTTAACATTCTGTGATGGAGACAATTATCTTCAATCTTGGAATTTGGCTTCCAAGATCAATGACCAGTCATTGACAGTCACTGCAAGTAAAGCCAAGAAAGCAAATGGTATTCGTGATATTCTAACAATGGAGAACTATCCTAGGTAAGAAAGACCCACGACTCTCCAAAAATGTGTTAGTTGCTGTTTTAAATATTGTACTTGACAAACATCATTTTTTAAAAATTCTGGCTATGCACTTTTCAAAAGTAGGTTTTGAGAGTAGCCAGTTTTTCAAAAGTAGTCGGGAGAATGCAGAGATTTAAATGCAAAAGACAGAGTTGTTGTGTTTCAGTGATAGCAGACATCTAAGGTACTTGATCCCTGAACAGCTTCCAAAATATGTGCATTACTATCAGCAGGGCTGTTGTATGCTAAAAAGTGGCTGAGGGGGTGGGGGAGACATGACGACATGGGCAAAACAAAGAGAATTTGTATATATTGGTTTCTTTTGCACTGCTGACCAAGAGCAGAGAAAAGTACCGTACCATGGAGGATATGAAAATTCCTTTCTCTAGGGAGACCCTTCTTTTCATTTCTTTCCCATCATTGCTATCCACACTGTTTACCAGCGCAGAAATAACAACATTGCACAACCTTTGCTGTATATCAATAACAAGACTATTCATTTCAATATTTCCCAAGGTATGCCATGTGCAGAAACACAAGTCCAGGGGTCATAACAGTGTGGAACATCATGAAATCAAAGTGTAAACACAATGCTGTGAGAGTGGAGAGGGGATTGCTAGAGAATACGGATATAGTTCTGGTCAGAGACATGAAACTTTATGTCCTTACAGACAAAGGGATGGCCTCTTTTGCAGATCCTCCGAGACCCATTTTCCAGGTATTGAAGGCACCTCTGTCCTGTAAATACTGGTTGTTTGTTTTTTAGTGATTGGCATTTAAAGCTGAGGCTGTTCAGAAAGAACCTTGTAAGGAAAAGCTGAGACGGTTAAGAAAATGATTTGCACGTATATTTCCTTACCGAAAAATGTTTTTATGCCATTCCAGACTCTTTTAGTTTATGACCTCCTGAAAAAGAAGTACATAAGGAAGCAGACTGGCCTTTACATCATTCCCTGCCCAAATAACGAGTATAAGATCCTTGAAGGAGGCCTTCTACTTGGACTTTCAGAGAACAGGTAATGTCTTTACAGCTATTGAAGATAATATGGCTGTTTTCTTTTTGCCACATTGAACGGAATAGTCACCATCAGCTATTAATATTGGTATGACATGAACTGACTAGGCCAGTGGTTCCCAATAAGCTAATTACTGAGGACCCCCTATTTTTCAAAAGCCAAGCCACGGACTGCCTGCTTTTTAACAATTTTATAATTACCTCTGAAAAGCAATTTTTTTGAACAAAATAAGCCCCAAATAAGTAAACGATTTTAGGTATACGAAAAAAACAGACTAGGGTGGAGCGATATCTAGTCTTCAAAATCATGATATATCAGCAGCTAAACATGGGGATATTCCGATATATCACGGTGTCTGAAATTGGAAATCAGGTGGGTGGGGCGTGTGCAGATCAGGTGTGGGGATGAAGGAAGGAGCAGCTGTGGAGATCAGGTGGTTGGGGGGAGGAGAGGAAGCAGAGTCACCTCCACTGCATGGTTTGAGTGGGATGGGATGGGGATGGGAGATACATCAAGCTGCTGTCATTTGGGCAGCTAGCGGTGGCAGCCAGCGAAGATTCAGTCCGCTGTGGCTGCTGCTACTGCTTTCCTGCTGACTGAAAAAAGCTGCTATGCCTCAGTGCCAGGGAAGGTAGTGCCACGGTCCCTTGAAGTGAGGGTGATCAGCTGCCCTGTTCCCCATCAGGTGAGGAGAAGGCAGCGCCTTGCAATCGGCTGCCCTGGTCTCCCTCAAAGTGAGGAAAGGCAGCTCAGATCAGCAGCGTTAACAGCTGAGATCACTGTGCAATATCAGCAGTGCCTTGAAATCAGCTGCCCTGCTTTCCCTCCTGCGAGGAGCAATATATTGCTGCATATTGCTGGGTCAAAATTCGTTACCGCAGTGTGGTTTCAAAACTGATTTGCCCAATATATTGAAAAATCACACAGCGCTAAAACAAACCATAAGATTTGTGACATTAACATGCAAAAATGACAAAAGAATAGTTGGGAGGGGAGGCAAGGGATGGGGTCGTGGACCCCCTGGATGTGTCCTGCGGACCCCAGGGGTCTGTGTACCCTTAATTGGGAACCACTGGACAAGGCTGTCTCATAAGTTTCCAAACTCAACCAAGTCATGCTTATAGCAACACACTGAGATTAAAAAGCAAAAGATTCCAGGAGGCTCCAGGGTTATTTTTCTGTTGGGAAAATCAAGGCACAGTGGAGGCTAATATCTTTAAGAAATATGGTTTATTTTACACATATTTATAACTAAAGTCTTCAGTGGAGAGGATGCAGAACAGTATACCCCAAGAGTATACTCATTGGCCGGCTCATAGCTTCAGCAAGCTTGGGTCCAAAGCAGCTGTCAGTCATGGCTCCTGCTCAGAGAAAGGGGGAAACATAGCTTTTTGCATTGCCAATGGCCCTTAATGGCCCAGTATCTGGCTCCCCATTGTTTATCAATGGCTCTGCACTTAGGGCCAGAAAGATTTGCATAAACTCACCCAGGATTTTTTTGTCTGGCACAATTCTGCAGCTTGTATTATCCCTTCATATCCCAACTATTATCTAAAAATTTCTACCATTCACTAGCAGACTCTACCCTAGACCTATGACAGTATGGAACCAGGAAGGGACAGAATGTCCTGCTCATGTATAAAGTGCAGTCTGAATTGCTTCATTTCTGAAGCCTAGCTCTCTTTACAAGCTTCCGACATGAGATGGATGAGCAGAGAGTGAGCTTAGCAGCACATACATAGTAAAAGGTGGTTTGTCTGTCTTTGATTCTCACCCCCCACCCTGTATCTCCTGAATTGCTCTGTTACTGAATCAGAGATTTTACTCAATTTCTGTGCCCATCTTACATCAACTGGTCACCTTGAAGTTCTAGAAAGTTATTATAACTTAAGTTCTGTTTGCTTTTCTGGTTCCTGTTTTCAGAGACCATTTTATTACCTGGAACTTGGAAACTGGATTTATTAAGGATCGATTAAGGCCAGAATACAAGGACAAATTTTCATCGCAAGCTGCAAAGCCTAACCGTTCCTTGTCCAGGGAAAACATGAAACGATGCAAAGGAGTCTTGCCTAACAGAACAACAGGTTTCAAACTTTTCATTCTAATTCATTCCCTTTGCAGTTTACACAAAATATTAAAACTTACAGTGGATATATTGTTCAACCACCACCACACCCCAGTTGCCTCAAAAACCTTTTATCAGAGCTTTTGTTCTCAGTTGTGTTAGATAATTATTGCAGTGAGGCAGGACCAAAAAAAAAACAACAGCCAGGTTCCAAATTATCAAGTTTAGCATAGCCAAGAGGTGTTTACATTTGCTGCTCCTCATGAAGCACCACACACACATATGGCTGCAGAGGAAATTGCTTTTTATATTTATTTGTTTCTTTGCTTGCTTGCCTGCCTGCCAGCCATTAAGGACCTTTGGCTCAAAATGAAAAATTCAGCAGAGCATAGGTCAGCCATTAGGGGGACCTTGAAGGAGTGTTTTGGATCATGGCCTGATCTTGTATCACCAGAACACACAAAGTGGCTTACAGCAGTTGAAATCCACCCACGCATATGTTAAAAATCGCAATTTTAAAAGTTATTTGCAACACCATTGCATTATATGGCAGTGTTACAGCTTCCATGGGAAAGGCGAAATGAAACAATGACTGGAAAGAGACGGAGGAAGGAAAAGGCAGTGAAAATGGAGAGGGAAATGCTGCAGCAACTTGCTAATGAAAAGAGCAATGCCATTGACCAGTTCTTCCTGAGTGGAGACGAGAAGGTGAGAGGCAATGTGTCCTAAGCTCCCTATGTTTATCTCGTGCCAATGTGCTAATAGTTTGCATTTATTTTTGTGCCCTGCAATCCTGTTTTTTCCCTAATCCATACCAGATTGTCAACTTTCTTGAGAAATGAACTTGTGCCATTTTATGGTTTCTCAAAAATATATGAGTTAGAATTAAGACACTGTGTCCTTAAACATAGAGATTGTTTAATTCCATCATAACTTATGAACTTTATTTATTAAACATTTCCTGGAGGGATTTCTGCTTGTGCCTAGCCCGGCTAATTCTGTACTTTTTTGTACATAACTGAATATACTATTAATCCTACTCAGAGAAGACCCTTGAAAGGAATGGATTCAACTAACGTAGGCCCATTAATTTCAGCGGAACTGCTCTGAGGAGGACTTAATTGGCTACAACCCAGGATTTTTGTTGTTAATTTTGTTTTATGATGTATACCACCTTTTAGGTGCTTAAATGATTGCTTTCACATTGATATTATAGCTTGAACAATGTGTGTGTGTGACATGCACATACCTTTGAGTGGATGCGTGGACCTCTCTTGCATCTCCAATTATGCATGTACAGGAAATGGCAGTGGATTAAATGGAAGAACAAAAAGCAAGCAAACACTGTAGGCTTGCTTTTGTACAGTATCTGAAGAAGTGTGCATGCACACGAAAGCTCATACCAAGAACTAACTTAGTTGGTCTTTAAGGTGCTACTGGAAGGAATTTTTTTTGTTTTGACTGTAGGCTTGTTCATCATCCTGCAAAAGAATGCCTTTAAGAAGCTTGCACTGCAGCAAGAGTCCACTGTGGGTGGACTTTGGCTGCCTGCATGCCATACATTTAAAGCACTAAGAATCCTGGGGATTGTAGTTTAAGAGTCCAGGGAATTGTAGCTTGGGGGGGGGCACAAACTATACTTCATAAGATTCGGAGGTGGGGGGGGGATGTGCTTTGGCATGTACACAGCCCATAACTCAGTCTTGAAGTAGCTTTGATACACCCTGTAGTAAAATGGAGCACCATGATGGAGCATCATAGTCTTCCTGTAGTAAAATGGAGCACCAGATATTTAAGGAGAGAATTACTTCAAGAGCACCCCTCCACTTGTAAGAAATGGGATTCTCCACATGGTGCAGAAGAGGTGCCTTATTGGCAGCATATAGTACAGGAGTTGGTAGTTCTGCCCGTCCCTACAGTAAACATTTACAGTGGTACCTCTGGTTATGAACTTAATTTGTTCCGGAGGTCCATTCTTAACCTGAAACCGTTCTTAACCTGAGGTACTACTTTAGCTAATGGGGCCTCCCACTGCCACAGTGCCGCTGGCACACGATTTCTGTTTTCATCCTGAGGTAAAGTTCTTAACCCGAAGTACTAGGTCCAGGTTAGAGGAGTCTGTAACCTGAAGTGTTTGTAACCTGAGGTACCACTGTATAGCTCATCCCTCCATTCCTCATAGGCGCAGCTGTCTTATACCAAAGGCCTTTCATACGACTACTAGTTGCAAGAGAGGGTAGATACACCAACAATTTATTTCACCCAAGTATTTATGGCCCAATATCTAAAAATTAATTCACACATCCCATTATCTTCTCTTAGGTTGCTGTGTGTTCCTACTATGCGCATCACCTGTCAGTGTTCAGCCTGGAAAGCATGTCCCATCTCCACACCCTTGAGAGCAGAGAATCCATGCTTTTCTTACACAATGCCGCCTTGACCTATAACGGCCATTATCTGGTGCTCTCCAATTACAGCGAGAAGGAGAAAGTCAGCTATGTAACACTATGGAATTTAGCCACGGGGAAGGTATGTTTTCTGAAATTCTTTTGAGGTGGCAGAGAACCATCTTTGCAGCTGTGGAGTATGTCCCCCCTCCCCCCAAAAAGAGGTCAATGAACAGCCACAGCTTCCTCACAAATGGTGTGCAAACTAAAGGGATTTTTGCTCTCCTTATAGCAGTTTAAAATTAATGATAGAAAACATTCCCCGTTCTAGAATTTCTGAGCTTGATGTCCTCTTGGACTGCCCTCCCTCCTGTCCCAAAGCTAGACCTGCAACTCCTGCTCTCTGTTTCCTGATGCAGCTGGCTCTTCATTCTATCTTCACACCTCATTCTTCCAAAGCTGTAGAGTAGAACACCATCAATGTACTGGAACACTACTCCAGCCTGCCACCTAAAGGGAGAAAGGGCAGTGCTACACATTAGCAAGTGCTAAGTAAGTGTAAGTACATGACCAATGTATTTAAAATGGATTATCTCTCCCCTAAAAATGCAGGTTAGGAAAAGACTGAAAAATGAGCCAAATGTCTGCTGTACAGCCATTGCTGCTGATGCTAGTAGGATAATTTTTGGAGTGATGGTGGAAAACAGGTAAGCAAAATGCCAAAGTTTAGTAGTTTTTTTCCTACAGTAGGTCCTCCCCCCCCCCTAAATCACTCAGTTCTTCTTAATTGTTTTCTGGAACAGTTTGGCAAGAGTGTCACAGCTGGACACAACTGTAACAGGTTTTGATTTCAGGCTTTTGGAAGCAAAACCTCATGGCCCACACAGACAAGCCTTTTTAAATGAAGCGAAATTTAAGCACACAGAGGCCTATTTTTCATTGGATTCACCTCTCCCCCTCCTGGTGGAAGAGGTTGCAAGTACCACATAGCCCTTCTTCAGACATCAATAGTATATTGACTAGATGACCCTTGGGGTCCATTCCAACTCTACAATTTTATTATTCCATATAATTACTAGTACAGTGGTACATCGGGTTAAGTACTTAATTTGTTCCAGAGGTCCGTTCATAACCTGAAACTGTTCTTAACCTGAAGCACCACTTTAGCTAATGGAGCCTCCTGCTGCTGCCGCGCCGCCGGAGCCCAATTTCTGTTCTCATCCTGAAGCAAAGTTCTTAACCTGAAGCACTATTTCTGTGTTAGTGGAGTCTGTAACCTGAAGCATATGTAACCTGAGGTACCACTGTATCTACTGAGACACTAGGCTTGATTTAGTAACACAGGAATTTTTTCATAAAGATTGGAAACTACTTTGGGCAGGTACAAAGGATTACAACTTCCCAATTCAAGTTGTCTTCCTCCTAGATAGGCTAGGAGGAAGGTGCTTCACAGGTGCTTCACAGACTATTGAAATTCTCCTGCTTTCCACTTGTTGTCTGAACACAAATCGGAGCTTCCCTGTGAACATACAGGGCCTGTCACATATAGCCCTTATCACCAAAGTTTAAGTGTGTACCACTGGGAAAATATTATTAAAATAATTTATAGACCACTATTCATTTTGAGAAGAAATACCAATGGTTCTACTGTTCCAAGCATGACTAACCCTGGTTCCAATCCTATTTGTTTTCTAAAATTTTAGTATATCCTTTGTATCTACATCTCATCAGAAATTGTATTAGAGACTAGATATATTTAATTTACATGCTCAAGAAAGGCTTGACTGTCCAGCATTCAGTGCACAGCTGTTAACTAGCTAAACTTCCGGACAATCGTTTGCCAGGTTTCATTACTTAGCATGACTTTGTGTAAGTTTGGGTAACTAAATAGTGAGATGACATTGTAACACCTATACAGTGGTACCTCAATTCTCAAATGAAATCCGTTCCCAAGGCCTGTTCGGCTTCCAAAACGTTCAAAAACCGAGGTGCGGCTTCCCATTGGTTGCAAGAGCTTCTTGCACTCAGAGAAACCACATCACATGTTTGGGTTCTGAAAAATGTTCAAAAACAGAAACATTTGCTTCCGTGTTTTCGGCGTTCGAGAGCCAAAACCTACAACATCAGAGGCGTTCTGGAACCAAGCTTCCACTGTCTGGTGCATTTCCTGGAGCAGAGATGCTTAGGTTCCAAATACTTTTGTACAAAAATTTAAAATGGTGCAATGAAAGAAGCAAAGAGGCCATGAAGAAGTGATCCACAGCTGTATGTAATGGATTGGAAACATTTATTCAGCTCAAGGTCCCTCATCCCTTCTGTAAGGGTTGGAACTACTTTGGGCAGGTACCTTTTAAGTACAGTACAGTGGTACCTCGGATTACATACGCTTCAGGTTACAGACTCCGCTAACCCAGAAATAGTACCTCGGGTTAAGAACTTTGCTTCAGGATGAGAACAGAAATTGTGCTCCGGCGGTGCGGCGGCAGCGGGAGGCCCTATTAGCTAAAGTGGTGCTTTAGGTTAAGAATAGTTTCAGGTTAAGAACAGACCTCTGGAACGAATTAAGTACCGTACTTAACCCGAGGTACCACTCTAGTCTTTAGTGAAAGAATATCTAATCTGCATCTGGACTGTTGAACATTATGTCCCACATATTAGAATATGTTGTCCAGTATTCAAGATGTCCCAATTTACAAACATTCAAGAAACTGTAGGGCAAGCTGAAGAAAATGTGAACTCAACACTTTTTTTAAAAAAACCAACATTTGCTCACCATTTACATACAAATATTTACTGCCCTGTCTGTCACTCTCCGTACTACAGAACTGATCTCTTTTTTGTGATTTCTAGGATAAAGATCTGGGATCCGTTTAAACATAAGCACAAGCTAATTCAAGGTTACGAAGGTCTTCATCTAACTGTGTGCAGCAAACTACACATATTAGATGGAGCAAAGGCTGTTCTGCTTGCAGGTTTGTGACAGATTTATTTTGTGGAGGCTGTTGGAGGCAGTAGGAGGGCTAGAATATTTTTGTTACATTAAGCTGGGAATCAACTCAATGCAATTTTCTCCCACGGTTTGCTTTATTTGCTTACAATGGTTAGTTTAAACATTTAATGGCAAAGCAAAGGTAAAATACGTCTCTGAAACGGGTACTTTATAAATGAAAAAGGGGAAATCCTTTCAATGCTGGCATGATTTTTAACTTTTCAGCTACCCTAACGCTTTGAACAAGGGGGAAACCAGAAAGAAATATTGATTTCTATTCTGCATCCATAGATTTAACCAACATGAATGGGTTGCTATTATGATTGATGGAAAAGGAGGGAGAATTCACAATGCTGTGCCTTAGCAGGACATAATGTGATGTTATGTGTATTTTTTCCCATTAGGTGAAGTCAGTATCTGGGATTTGGAAAGCGGCACAGTTATATCAGTCTTTACACCAGACAGCAAAATCTCCTGCATGACAGTTGCGTTTGATAGAAACACAGTTCTTTTGGGTTTGAGTGACAACCCTGCTCTCATTACTTTGAAAATGCTGAGCACCAACACATCTGCAAGTTCAACAGGAAAAGATTTGTTTGGAGAGGAATCCTCAAGCAGTGAAGAAGAACCTGAAGTTATTTAAAATCCAAAATTTTAACCAAGTAAGAAGCTAGCATTCACAATTGAATTTTTTTTAAGAGAGTATGTTACAAGATATCCATTGATTTGGGAGAACTGGTACAAAATACTTTTGAGTTTCTGTAATGTTGGATCATCACCCAGAGTAGACCCAAGGAAATCAATGAGCTTGTGTTGATTTTAATGGGTCTACTCTAAGCGAGATGAGTGCCGCACCCCATAGTCGACTTTACCTTTTACCCCAGGGTCCTTTACCTTTTACCTTACTCTGTAACTTTGTTTATAATCTTGCCCAAACAAAAATACCTACTTTTAGTTTGCTATTGGCAGATGTTTCTTGGCCTTCTGCATCAGTGAGAACTTACCGTATTTTTCGCTCTATAACACGCACCCGACCATAACACGCACGTAGTTTTTAGAGGAGGAAAACAAGAAAAAAAATATTCTTAACAAAATAGTGGATGTATGATTTTTGTGGTTCATGCTGTGGCCACAGACATGTGATCTGACAGTGAGTTTGGAGTAGCCGAATGCAAAAATCCTGAGGATCCATGTGGATCCATGCTTTGTAACCACGTTTTTGCACCACTGTGGCCCGAGGCAACAGTGGGTGCGTGATTTTTTTGGTGCAAGATGTAGCCATGGACATGTATGTGATCTGACGGTGAATTTGGGGTGACCCAGTGCAAAAATCCTGAGGATCCATGTGGATCTGTGCCTTGTGACCACGTTTTAAGTGGGGAGGGAAGGAAAAGCACTCAAGGGACAAGGAGCACGCATGGGGTGCATGGAGAAGGATGCTGCTAATAATGCAGGCGAGGGGTTTAAGGGGAGAAGGAACACGCGTGGGGTGGGTGGAGAAGGATGCTGCTAATAATGCAGGCGAGGGGTTTAAGGGGAGAAGGAACACGCGTGGGGTGGGTGGAGAAGGATGCTAATAATGCAGGCGAGGGGTTTAAGGGGAGAAGGAACACGCGTGGGGTGTGTGGAGAAGGATGCTGCTAATGATGAAGAAGAGGGGTATAAGGGGAGAAGGCTCCTCTCCTCTCCCGCTTTGCTCCTTTAAAGAAGCAGGCTCTGTCCCTCTCTCCTCCCCACTCAGCGGCTCTTCTCCCGCTTTGCTGTTTCAAAGCGAGCCACGGAGAAGGGAAGGAAGGGGAACCATAGATCCTCTGCTCACGACTGCAGCAGATCCACCCCCCCGCCACCCGTAGGCATTCCCTCCATAACACGCACAGACATTTGCCCTTACTTTCTAGGAGGAAAAAAGTGAGTGTTATGGTGCAAAAAATACGGTATATTGTTTGCATTGTCTAAGGATCCAAACAGAGATTATCAGGGATAAAACACCCAAGTCACTAGTTCCATTTGTGTTGGGTTTTATAGAGCAGCTTTATTTAGCCTTGAGCTCCCAATGTTGCTGGACCAAAACTCACATCATCCCTGACCATTGGCTAAGCTGGCTGAGGTTTGGTGAGAGTTGCAGCCCAACAATATCTGTGGTCTCAATAGATATATAGATATATAAATATATAGAAGATATTTTGTGCCCTAAATGTCAGAAATTTTTAACAGAATATGTAGAAGGAAGGGGGTCTCCCTTTTTTTAGGAGCAGGAAAAATTGGGATACATATACACTACACCCATGGTGATGCTCATGTGTTTGATTAGGTTTCATAAAGGTAGGAAAGGGGTTATCTATCAACTTTAAGAATTGTTATGACAGTGATAATGGATTCCAGCGATTTTGTAAAAGATATAATCAGAATGTTTCAATTGAAATATTGATATACTATTGTGAAATTTACTGGTAAATTAAAATGATAGCAAACATTTGGATGATACTGGGTAATGGCTATTACATTATGAATATGCATTTGATATCATACTAATCTAAAGCTAAAATAAGCTAGAGTAATACATTTGTTTTAGTGCTACTAACAATGAGGAATTCTGTTAACTAATTTATTTGGGTCCAGCTGATTTTGCTCCATCTGAATATCTCAAAGTATGGTTTTAAACAGGGCTGTGTTTGTTCTCATCCCTGCTTGGCTTTTGTGTGATTGGGTTGGCACAGCTTATTCCTTACATATAGGCATTGACAAACACTAGCCTCAACCATCTCTCTTTGGCACATACTGTACTTAGGTCAGCTTTGTGTGGAAGAACATCAGTTTATAAGGAAGCATTGGTACAACAATTTCTGATAGCATATGCTACCAGCTCATTTTGAATCAGCCGATCAACTTCATTTTGTTGTGATGTAGCAGAGAGGAGTGGGGATCCCACCTTTCTGAACATGCTAGATTGGCTTGACTTGAAGTTTAAATAAAAAAAATCATCCTGTTTAGGAATTCATTCAGATGTCCTGTTTCATCAAAGCCCTATTTATTCTGAGATGCAGTTTTAAGAGGTAAGTGCAACATGATACAGCATCGAATGCCTTCAATTATGAAATTACGTTTATTGCTTACTGTTCCCACTTCCCTCTTTCCTGTCATTATATGCTGCTAAATTTAGGGACACTCAAAGGGAAGAATACTACTTGTCTCACTCAAGCATAGAAGCCAAGCAAGTCAGAAGGAATCTCAGCATTCATACCTATTATGATGGTTTTCATCAGAGCTCCATTACTTTTATAGCTTTATTTCAATACCATTTGTCAGCTACAAATAAAAGAATATTACAAAACCTAGGAGCTAAAGAGCTATGTGGGGTGTTCCAGACATGTACTGGGGACTTTCATTCTCACTCCACCCTATGTCAAGGTACCCCTGGAGTGACATTTTGTGAGGCAAATGGAGAATGCAGTGTGAAAGGGAAAACGGACTTCTTTCCACATGTACAAAAACATTTATTCTACATGTATATGTTTCTTTGGATCCCAGCCTCTGTGTGCATTACTGAAAAAGGGGGCAATATAAAAATGTTCTGTTCCATTTTTACAACCAAAATGGTTTTTATTCATAAAACATAGCATGCAAAATATTAGATCCAAGTAATTGATACACTTCATTGGCACAGTTCTTATTTGCATGTGCCCAGGCTTACAAAATTTAGAACCAAGAGGGAGATTGTCAAACCACAGCAAGCAAACTTATTTTAAAATCATTAGAAGTTCATAGCAATGACAGTTTCTTAAAAATGGGAAACATTATCATTTTGCTAAGATAGGGCTAAGAGTCAGGTTGTCAATTGGAAGCAGAGGAGACACAGGAATTGCAGACGCTAGTCTGGGCATTCCCTGTTTAGGAATAGTGCAGATATTTAATGCACACCATTACCTGGTTGCAGAATTATCATGCCTAGAAACAGATCTGAAATGCACAAGTAGTTTTACAATCAGTGGAAGGTGTTGAATATGGTGTTAAGCACACAGGAGCGAATAAATCCAAAACCAGTTCCCACTCTCCTTCAATCAGCTGGGATCAAGTCACTGTTCAAAATATGTCCTCTTTCTTAGATTTTCAACAACATGCTAGTACCTTGGGACTTAAATTTTCCTACTCGTTGCATTATTTTGTTCAGGACACTGGGGAGAAGCAACTAGACATCCAAAATAAATACATATATCTGAACTTGCATTTTGTTTTTCCCAAAAACCCTGAACAGAAGACATATTATTTATGGAAGAAGACTTTCTCTTCCCCTGGGAGATAGTTCACAATCAATGTTGCCCCATGAAATTGTGAGACAGTGTTTCAGAATCAGTTGAAACAAGTGTCCCATTCCTCTGTGGAATACAGAAGTAACGATTCAGCTAATAAAACCCGACAATAACAGCAATAACAGCAGTTCCCAGTTAAACTAGGTAATATATAAGGTCCCAGAGATGCTGCTACTCACCCTTACAAAACGAAAAATGTCCACCTTAAGTGAAGTATCTGGTCAGAGCTCATGATAACTTTTTGTGTGTGTGAAAGTATCCAGAACTTTTTCAAAGATCAGTTAAACCACAAAAACTTTAACTGCCACAGAAATGTTTCAGTTTGTTGTTGCAGAAACAAGAGTTTGAAGATATGTGAATTTATTATCGGGCTGTTTATTCCATTTCATTCACATTGCTATTGCCTCACATGCACGTTATAACCTCTGTGAAATGCAAATAGATCCCTCTCAAATGCTAGAGGAAAAAAAGCCTCGTTTAGAAAAACCAATAGTAGTATGTTAGACAGCTAGACAGAGGTTACAGCTGTTTGTCATCAAATTTGGCATGTAGAACTCGATTAAAGAAATAATATCTAGTTTTGGAACACCTTCAATTACTGTCTGCTCCAAAAATAAGTCCTGGTTCCTTATGTATAAGGTTTTACAAAAAGCACTACGCTTTTGAGGAACACGGTTCCTTTTGTCTACATCTACATCTATTGTATCCCTCTTCTATAAGAGGGCAGTTGCTTTTTACTACTACTGAACTTTCCTCAGCTCCAAGAGCCTAGAAAGCACGAAAGCCAGTTAACATACTAGTCCAGGCAAACTCTTATAACTTGTCCAAAGACTTATAGATATTATAGTACTTACGCATCCATTGTACCTGTAAACTTTTCAACATGATTGTATGTTCCTGCCATCATCCAAGAAGTCAGTGGCAAGATGGCACAACATGAGTTAAAAGATGGAAAGGAACAGAATGGGAAAATCAAATAGCCTCAGTTCAGGACTGTCTTTGTAATGCTGAGTAGAACTCTTCTAGCCATCGTATTTTATTGTTTAATATACCGTCCCTAAAAAGGCTTCTAACCTCATCACCACAAGATTAACATAGTGACATATACAGAAATTACAAGGAAAGCAATAAAGAAGAATGTTGGCTTTTCACCCCGAAAGACTTAAAATGTAACACTAGATTAACCCCAATTAAATATGATCTTTTAAGACTCTGAAGTCTAAAAGCGTCATAGAACGAAAGTGTTCTCAGCAGAATGAGCTATAATGGACTAAAGTTACAACTGCAACAGATGTTAAAATACCAGTCTTAACATGATTATCCCTCCAGTCCGTCCTCATCAGGCATCACCATAATTCTGCAATTAAAAAGAGTGAGGGACCAAGAACTCTTGAATCCCCTTTGTGCTACTCCCATGTGACCCTGTTCGAAGAATTTGGTTTTTTTAGTGCAGAATATTCAAAAGCACAAAAGTACTAACATCTATTAATACTCCATTAGTACTACAGACTGTAAAAAATATTGCATAGTTTTATGCATTATTCTAAAATATGGGTCTGCCTATTAAACAGTTTTTAATAAAAACTACGCAGCTCTCAATGTATTCAGAGCATCGACTACCTCGATCTTCTATCTTTTTTGGATTTGTCTGTACATTTATCCATAGTCTTCTCATTGTCTCCTCTGCACTTAGGACAATACCATTTCCCCTTCGGTTTGTAAGTGAGTCCAACACATGAAAAATGAAACCATTCAATGGGACATAGTTCATTGTCACACCCTATCATTTCCCCGTAAGACACTTGGTCACAGAGACAGTAAGTTGGTTCATTAGGGTCTACTGCAAAATCTACTGGCGAAGCTTCCCTTTCTTGTTTAGCTTTAGAGCGTTTCTTTTTCTTAGCAGATTTGGATCTCTTTTCTTTAGGGGGCTGGTCATCATATTCATCAATTCCATTTGCTATATGGCATATATCACGGCTTTCGCTGGTGCGCTGTCGACGTGGTCTTCGTGAAGATCTTTCTGGTAGGCAAGGGTCCACTTTTGACTTTTCGGTGGGCTTCTCTGTATCTGACAGATCTTGGAAACACTGAGACTGGGACTCTATTTGCCGGGCTCTGTTCTCTACCAACTCAAGCATCTGAGTGACTATTTGGATTTTCTCATCACCAAGCTCTTGACTGTTGATCAGCGCTCGCTGAAGATGCTGCTGCAAACGCTTTTTCTGAGCAGGATCATCTTCACTCTTGTATTTTTCATAGACTTCGTCAATTTCTTTTAACGCTTCTGTTAAAAAGAAGTCAGAATAAGTGTATTATGAACTAGAATCCTTCAAGTCACTCCTTTCAAGTTGACAAATGCTAATCTTGTACTAAAAATGTGAATAGTACATATCTGAGGCTATGTAATAAAGCATATACATTCAAAGGATAGTAACACATTAAGATGCAAAAACAAATCTGTCCAAGGCCTCTTCCAAAATACAAGGAAGTTTTTTAAAAGCATCTAGAGGCCAATGTGTCATTTAGCATGTCAGCATTATAAAGTGACATAATTAAAACTGGTGTTTCATAGGGGAGAGGGGAAAGCAGGCGTGCTTTTTCTAGTTCTTTCCTCTCCCGACATCCTACCTTGAAATGGCAAGCTGCATTTTTTCACATGTTAAGTACTGAAAATTACTATTTCTGTCAATTTACAAAAGGTGGGGAATCTCAGGTCTAGAGCCCAAATGTGGCCCTTCAAACCTTTCCCCAGGCCACACTCTTCATCAGCCTTGCTCTGCTTTTGCCTAGTGGGAATGGATGGTGAATAGAGAAATGCTTGTGTAAAACATACAGATTCTGTATGGCTAGAATGTAGCCTGCTGTGCAAAGGCAAGAGTCATGCCCACTGCTTTACCTACTTGTGCCTCTGGCCCTACCCACTGTGTGCCCCCTGGAAGGTTACCTACAAAAGAATAGAATGTGACCCTCAGGCTAAAAAAACACAACAAAACAGGTTTCCCAGCTCTGTTTTGCAGGGAAGGTGGAGAAAAAATTATATTGAGGAAAAGACACCATTCCCCAAACACCTCCATCCGCATTCTAACATCATACACAAGAGACCACAACATCATAGAATTGTAGAGTTGGAAGGGACCAAGAGTATCACCCAGTGGCGTAGCGTGGGGGGTGCAGGGGGGGCCGGCCGCACCGGGCGCAACATCTGGGGTTAGGGCAAATCCACGGGTTAGGGGGCACAAATCCACAGGTTAGGGGGCACAAATCCACGGGTTAGGGGGCGCAAATTACTTGCCTTGCCCCGGGTGCTGACAACCCACGCTACGCCGCTGGTATCACCTAGTCCAACCCCCTGTAGTGCAGAAATCTTCTTGTTTGCTTCACTTGCCTGGAGGTGTCACTACCCGCTCAATTTGTATTTTGGTCATAAAAACAGACTAAAACCATGTAAAAAGATGGTGGGGGACTCCCTTGGTTGCAAGTGGAACAAATAGTAGTAACTGGCCTTGAATATATGCTCTTCACCCATCTGCCACAAACACTAAAAAGAAAAAAGCACTTTACCTACAACATGTATAGTCTGTTGATACCAATGCTAGCCCCCAAACCTAGCTAAATCTAGCCCTGTCAGCCCTACCTGGGAACCGAGTGGTGTGCAACTGTGCAGGTGCGTGCATGCGTGTGTGATCACTGCACTGCATTTGAAACAACAACAACTCAACTTTGCAGAGACGTCTCCCTATGCAACCAAGGGAAAAACGAAAACAATTTCGAAGTTCGCATCTCGGAACTTTTCGGGCGATGCATCCCACCGGAGACCCCACCACCACCACGGAGGCGTCACACGGGTCCTGCTACTGAACCTCCTTCCCTCGTGAACTTGGACTTTTAAAAAAAAAGGTGGCAGAGGGCATGCCCCGCCGCCCGCCGCCCCCTCCCAGCTCGCGTCACAGGGTCATGAGGGCGGGGGTGGGTGGTCCAAGCCCCGCCGGGGCCCCAGTGCCGGGGTCATTCCTCAGCGCCCACCCCCTCAAGTTCGCCCCGAGGGCCAAGGCGGGGGGGGGGCTGGCGGAGCGGGGCCATTTTCCTCCCCCTGCGGGCGCCTGGTGAGGCGTGGACGCCCCTCCTCCTTTCAAAGCAAGGGCGGTTGGACTGGAGGGGTGGGGGTGGGAGCAGCGCCGCTGCCTCCGCCGCCATCGCCCCCTCCTCCCCGCTCTTTCTCGCCCCCCCCCCCCGCTCACCCCGGCAGCGCGTGTCCATCTCGCGCAGGAGCGAGGCCAGCCTCTGCATGTCCAGCGGCAGCGACTCGACGCACTCCAGGTAGTCCTGCACGTAGCGCGCCAGGATCCTCTCCGACACGCCGCCGCCGCTGCACGGGAAGCCGGACACTCCGCCGCCGCCGGCCCCGCCGGCTGCAGTGGCGGCAGAACCGGCAGCCGCCGCCGCCCCAGACCCCGCCCCCCAGGCTGTTGCCCCGGCGACCCCAACATCATTACGCGACGTGACAGCGACCCCGCTTCCCCCTCGGCGGACCCGGGGCCCTCGAGCGATGGGGAGGGGGGAGGGGAAGGAAGCCCCTCCGCCGCTTCTGTTAATCGGCGCGGGCAGCCGAGGCGAAAGAAAACCTCCTCCCTCACTTGGAACTCCCCGCCTCTTTTTCCCTTCCGCGCCCCCCCTCCTTCTCCTCCTCGCTTTTTTTTTTGTACCGCGGAGCACGCATGCGCGAGGCCTTGTCCTTATAAGGAGCGGCCGGTTCGCATTCTCCCGCCTTCCCCTCACACCCGACGCGATTGGTCCGGACGGATGGAACGTCAGGAGGCCAACGCGGAAAACGAAGGGCGGGGTCTCACCTTTAAAGAGACACCGCTCTATGCAATTACGGTTTCCCCTCCCTCCTTTCCTGCCGGTGCCTGGTCTCAACGGAACGATCAGTCTCTCCCTCTCTCTCTCACACACACTATTTATCAGAACCCGCCTACTTTTTTCCTCCAGCCAATCCGCTGCCGAGAGGGACGGAAATGAAGCCGGAGAAACCGAACGCTCCCCCCCCGCCTCCCCCTTTCACTTGTGTCTGAATCTGTTGACAGCGGCGCGTGGAAGGGAGGAGAGAAGGGCTGGGGGAACAAAAGGGAGTTGGCGCGGGGGAGGAGAGGAGGGAAAGTGACACTGGAGCGCCCACGTGGGGCTTAGGGGGGGGGATGGAATGTTCTGCTTCAGGACCGCTTTGCCAATAGCACTTTATTTAATTCGACGATGGTCTGATCGCCCTTGCTTCGAGGGTCTCTGGACTCCTCTTCCTTCCCCACTTCCCGTTTTATGCTCTCGACACAGATTTATGCAGAGAGAAAAGTAACTTGGTCATAGTGTGCTGCTCGCCTTGCTACGTGAGCTACGGTGGCTTTAGAAATTACCCCGCACCTGAAATGAGTGGGACTGGGAAGTTTCCAGCTACAAGTCCAGGCACACATACTAAACTCGAGTGAACGGACTATGGAGTAAACTGCACGAAACAACACATCAAACCAAACAAGTAAAGTACAACACACTTAAAAAATCAAAATCAAATCAGCCGAGCTGCAGCTCGAGCAGGAATTGAGACAAATTACTGCTGATGGTTGGGAGGCTCAGGCGGTCAGTCCTACGAAACTCAGTAAGGCTTTTTTCTGAGTAACAGCCTGATGCTGTTATTCGCGGTGCTGATAACGCCAAGGTCACGGGTTCGATCCCCATGCGTTGAACTAGATGACATCTACTGGTGCATTTGTTAAAAAAGGCGTTCTGAGAATGAGCCCCGTTCTGTTGGTGCGGCGATCTCTGTGAAAGATGCACATGCGCACTACCTGCGTGACTATGGAGGTGACGAGAGGCCCCTCCCGCGCCCACCCGCTCGGCCCTGAGGGCTTCTTGGCGGAGTAAGCGTGGGCTCGCGAGACGGGTTGTTGCGCGCTGCAAAGCACGCGGCACTCTCTGCCCAGGGTCCGGGGACTTTCCCCTAGGCGGGCTCAGGGGCCCAAGAGAAACAAGCGTTCTCCGCGCGTAGCCTAGAGAGCAGGTCTTTAGAACACCCTACAAAAGCCGACCCGGACAGCGGTTATATAAAGCCTTGAAGAAGCGGCTTTTTTCCATGTCATGGCGAGCAGCACGAAATACAAAACCTTTTCTATTTTATATAAAATCGTAGTGCGGAGGTTCTCTCTCTTTCACTCTCTCTTTTTTATGTGGGGGATTGTGGGGGGCGGCAGTTCTTTACTACAGAAGGTCTGGCTGCGTATGCTAAACGTGCATGCAGATAGTATGCAAATATAACGCATCGCCCCGCCCATTACTAACGATTTTAAGAAGCGGAGGGTGAATTCCGCCAGCTTAAAACTTCTAGGTTGTGGCTGTATAGACTGAGGAGTTGAGCTCGCTGCAGGATCCACGGGGTGTCAGATACCACCCCGCTGCTCCTGATGTTCTTGATGCACATCTTCCCTCACCCCATTTCCCCTGGCAGGGGCGGGCTGAAGGGCGCCAAACAGGTGCCAAAATTTATTGGGCTGGTCCTGCTGCTGCCCCATTGCAGGGTTTATTTGAATCCATGCTCACAAGGTTACTGTATATCGTTCGAGATCCTGGTGTTGTTGCTTATTTTGCAGATAACAATTTATGATTTACACCAATTATCGCTGTGGAAATTAGAAAGAAAATCTCTGAGCATGTGCAAAGTGCCATTCATGCTTCATTAAATAATTGTCACCTCCCAAAACTACTGGAAAGGGAGGGGAACTCAGAAAGCATGAGTACTAGAAAAGCTTGAGGACCCCTCGCTTGTTTGTAAATGGAACATTCCATTTACCACTGTTCCAATGTACATGGTATCTCAGGTTACATTCGCTTCAGGTTACAGAATCCGCTAACCCGGAAATAGTGCTTCAGGTTAAGAACTTTGCTTCAGGATGAGAACAGAAATTGTGCTCCAGAGGCGTGGCAGCAGCAGGAGGCCCCATTAGCTAAAGTGGTGCTTCAGGTTAAGAAAGGACCTCCGGAATGAATTAAGTACTTAACCCAAGGTACCACTGTACTAGATAAGGGAGGTGGGTGGTGCTGTGGGTTAAACCACTGAGCCTAGGACTTGCAGATCAGAAGGTCGGCAGTTCAAATCCCCGCGATGGGGTGAGTGCCCATTGCTCTGCCCCTGCTACTGCCAACCTAACAGTTTGAAAGCACGTCAAAGTGCAAATAAATAGGTACCGCTCCAGCGGGAAGGTAAACGGCGTTTCCTGTTTCCGTGCACTGGATCGCCAGAAGCGGCTTAGTCATGCTGGCCACATGACCCAGAAGCTGTACGCCGGCTCCCTCGGTCAATAAAGCGAGATAAGCACCGCAACCCCAGAGTCGGTCACGACTGGACCTAATGGTCAGGGGTTCCCTTAACCTTTAATGTATTAGAAAACCATCTGAAGCAACAGCAGTAGAACAGCAGTCTTACCTTACAACTTTTGGTGGAGCAGCAGCAAGGAGCAGTCACTTTTGTTGCTCACCCACTGAGCAGCATTGGGCAGGTAGTGGGTATCGGGTGAGCAAAGGGAGAGTGCAGGCAAGAGTGCACCAAAGAGGAGCCGCTGCCTTCTCTTGCTAGCACTCACCCAGTGGTAGCACTCAGGGAAGGCTGGAGGCAGCACAGCTAGGATGTATGTGTATGTTGTCCTGCCAGGTGAATCCCTCTCCTTAACCTGTTGAGCAGATGCTTGCCCTTAAACATAAATTGCTTGAGTGTGAAGAGTGATTGCAAGTTATTTCCTAACCTTCTCCTTGAAATGTGGTAGCAGAAGCAGACACTGGAGCCCAGAAGATGTCCCACGTAGCAAACACTGGAGCCAGCTGCGTCTTGTATTGTTTGACTTCTCGCAGAACCAAACACCAGCTTTAAGGCCAAAAGGTAGTTTGCCTGTACATCATACACCATCCGCTAGTGATGCCCTTGCACTGCTTTTTTAGTCCAGCACATATGAAAATGGAAATGCCCAAAAAGCTAAAAAGGGTATCACCCTCCCTGGATGTGGGGGCAGACCTCATGAGTCTAGTAAGAGCTACAATAATTCTGTAGCTCTTAACACAGTATAACCACCCTTGTTGGACAACCACCAGAATTGTTAACTAGTAAGTACTTTAAAAAATGTATACAGTCGTACCCCGGGTTACATACGCTTCAGGTTACAGACTCCGCTAACCCAGAAATAGTACCTCAGGTTAAGAACTTTGCTTCAGGATGAGAACAGAAATTGTGTGGCGGCGGGAGGCCCCATTAGCTAAAGTGTTAAGAACAGTTAAGAACAGTTTCAGGTTAAGAACGGACCTCCAGAACGAATTAAGTATGCAACCAGAGGTACCACTGTAGTGGGTATTATGTATCCTCACTTGGCTGAAGGTGGTTATGCATTTCCAGCAAAATCAATTCAGAACAAAAAGTACCTCAGGTTGTAGCAATAAATTTAATTAAAACTGCCAACTACCTTGGCTACTTCAGTCCGTCAGAGGACATGGTTGTGCTCCACTCACTTCCATACAGATGCATTACACTTTTCTGTAACAGTGTAAAACAGAGACCCTAAATTAAATAGGAAGTCAAGGAATGTGTTAGTCTAAAACTGCTATCTCTATGGGCAGAATGATGCAAGTAGCCAAAGCTTTACCTGAAGTTGATGCTGCAGTTTTCACCAATGACAACTTTTTTGTTTTTTAAAAAAGTGGAAACTGCTAGATCATAGAGAGAGAATGCCTGGTCAGAGAATAGAAGGGTGTGTAAGGAAGTGTGTAGGGTGACTCTGCCTGCTGCTGGCAATGTAAGGCTGTCAATGGCTACTAGCCGCAATCACTGTTTTACTTCTATTCAGAAGAGGCAGTATGCTTCTGAATACTAGCTGCTGGGAATTGCAGATGAGCTGTGTGTTGTTACTCATGTCCTGCTTGAAGGGTTCCTACAAGCATCTGGTTGGCTGTTGTAAGGACAGGCTGCTGGATTGGAGGGGTCAGTGGCCTAATCCAGCAGGCACTTATGACCTTGGATAGGAATGGTAGCCACAAGGGGATGTGACCTGAAAAAGGTTATTCACCTCTGTAGCAAAATGCTGGCTGCAGATGTGCTTTTTGTTTAACAAGCACATATTACTTATACAAGGCCAAATTAAAGAAGCACAAAGAAATACACATTTGATGCTACTTTTTCTGCCACTCTTCTCTTCTCATAAGTGTTGCGGATTGTGCAATCTACCATGCTGTACAAATAAAAACTGAAATCAAAATTGTTTTCCCAATAGTTTTTGGAAAGAAGTTTAACCCATTAAGTTTGAACAGGAGCCAAACAACTGAAAATATCTTTTATTTGAATGAGTATATTTTTTTATTACAAAGGAGTCTACCTTTCTTTAACAAACAATCAGCTGCCACATATTCATTTTACCCACTTTTGCTCGGGAACAGGGGTCACCAACATGGCACCTGCAGGTGCAGATGTGCTCAACAAGGCCTTCCCTTCAACAGAACCCACATTCATTTCTCAGGTTTGCAAATGTGCTTATGGGCCCTAAGATGTCAGCAACCCCTACTACACAATATTCTATTAA